GGGATAACATCACCTCTGCATTCTGCTTTTAAAGACAAATAGGAATTCTGAACCTTAACCACAAAGTAGATAACCGTGGAAGCTGAAGCATTCCTCTCTCTCTCTATCTGGCTTACCCACACACACATCTGCCTTTCTCTTTCTGACCTTTATTTATTGTTTTATGGTGAAGCTGCCGCCCTGCGTGTCTATCTGTCTTTGTACCATCAAGACTTCCCTCTCCTCTTCTTCCAGGTTTATGCATTTGAGTAATGTCTGTATAGAGTGTGTGGTTGGCGTTAAGGTGCCGTGCCTGTGAATGTCGATGAGTCATTCTAAAAAAAAACGAGACAAGACAGTTGCACCTCACACACACACACACACAAACCCAGCATTAACTTGCCTCACTCCTCAGAACCAAAATGGTCTCCCAAATCGGCCGAAGTAAGACTCACTTTCCTCAGATTTAGATTTTATTTCGTCGTTTCAGCCTCAAAACTAAAAGATAATCATGCTGGATTTAATCAAGGGACATTTTTTTTTGTTAATTTTCATTTAACGCCGTTGGGTTAACACATTAGGTTGTATGGAAGAAGGAAAACAAGCAAACAGGGAGAAGATGGATAGCGATTAACATATCAATGATATGAAAATCTTTATGTCAGAGTTAATGTATGAACAAACTGCTCAATAGTATCAGACTGTTGACATCATCAATTAAAATATTAGGTGCATACTGTTGCTCACTGTCAGCCCTCCAATTGAGTTTCCTTGTTTCCTTTCCAATAGCCTCAAAGCACCCCCCCCCCCCCCATGTCTCTTCCTATAATGTGACTGGATGCCTGTGACCCCCCGTGACCTCCAGCTGTGTGTCATGACAACAGGACGGTGACAAATGTCAGGCAAGATATTTGCTTCCTCCATCTCCTAAGCCTCTCCCTGAGGAACCCACCCACACAGCCTGGCCAGACACTGCAGAGGAGGAGAGAGACAGAGAGGAGCTGTCTGTCTGCCCGTCCATCTGTCTGTCTGCTCTCCCAGTGTGGGGAACCTGCGGTTATCAAGGAAAAGGGCAAAGTGTCCGCCGAGAGGGGAGGATGCTGGCAGATTTGAGAAGACAGAATGATGGTTGGAGGCATCTGAATGCTCTTTGTGCACCGTTGAAGTGTCTGTAATTAGGAAAGGGGATAGCAGCGTGCTGATTGGGAGCAGCGACAGGGAGGGCTGCTGTGTTATTTCGGAGCGTGCTGTGTTAAACAGGGTGTTAAAGTCAGATGTGTTAGACATGAGTGTGTGTGTTGAGGTGGGGGGCAGGGGCTGGGAGAGAGGTGTGTTTGAGTTATTTTCGAGTGCGTTGTCGGGTTTGTCAAGGAGCATGTGAGCTGAGCTTTGGTGTGCGTGGTGTTGTGATGATTTCTGAGGTGGTGGTGGTGTAGGGCTGTTAGTGAAAATGTGTGACGGGGTGAGGGTGTGTGTGTGTTTCCTCCCAGGCTGCTCCTGCTCTCCAGCAAACTGCCTCTGCATGCATAATTAACCAGGATGACTGGGGAAGTAAATACACAGGACGGCGTTCCACCCTTCTACTCTGTATGCATCCATTTATATGTGTTTGGGTCTGTGTGTGTCTGTGTGTGTATCTGGATTTGCATGTGTGTGTGTTTGTTAGTGTCAGATAGACAGAGAGCAGGAAAAAGATTGGAATGAAAAGTGCTTCAGAGTTGATGGAACGAGAACTGTCTGTTTGTGTGTGCACGCATGTGTTTTTCTGTGTGTGTGTGTGTGTGTGTGTGTGTGTGTGTGTGTGTGTGTGTGTGTGTGTGTGTGTGTGTGTGTGTGTGTGTGTGTGTGTGTGTGTGTTGTGTGTCTGTGTGTGTGCATGTGTGTGTGTGTGTGTGTGTGGAGAGAAAGAAGATAAATCCCATCTCAAGCTGCCTCTGAAGATGATGCGATGAAAGAGAGGGAGAGAGGATAAAAAAGGGGGGACTGTAACCAGTCGCAGCTCTGCGCATTATGAACCATCCAGCGGAACAATCAGATTCACCCTCCCCTCCTCCATCACCCTCCCCTCCCTCCTTTACACTCCTTTCCTCCTGTCCTTCCTTCCTGGCAATATTTTATTTACAGACAGAGATCTGAAAAGGTCCTCCTGGACACGTTTTAAAGGAGACACACATGGAAAAGCACACACACACACACACACACACACACACACACACACACACACACACACACACACACACAAACAATCAAACACTGATGTGACTTTAAGGTTTACAAATCTAAAATAACAATGAAGCTGGTTATGAAGGCAGCTGCCTTGATGAGATTTGAAGTGGGCAGAGCCCAATGTAATCAATCACACTTCGAGCAGCTCATGTTTGTCTGCAGGGGTGAAGCATTTGGCTAATCACGGACCCAACCGCATAGTACGCGTATGCACAATCTACCATTTTGCATGCAGCTATGGGCAAGTGAAATGTGTGTGTGTGTGTGTGTGTGTGTGTGTGTGTGTGTGTGTGTGTGTGTGTGTGTGTGTGTGTGTGTGTGTGTGTGTGTGTGTGTGTGTGTGTGTGTGTGTGTGTGTGTGTGTGTGTGGTGATTGCTGCAGCTCACATTTCCCAGGAGCCCAGGTTGTAAAGCCCACTCACTAAATCATCTGTCCTCCTCTGTCCTCTGCACCCCCTTTTACTCATCCTCCTCTTCATCACTTCTATCTTGCACCCCCCAACACTCGATATCTCCCCCAGCCTCAAATGACTCTTTCTCCCTCTCCTCCAATAAGACCCTGACACTTTGTTGTCTTTTCCTTCCGGTGCCATTCTAATATTCAGTCATGGCAAGGGGCCAATAGGAGGGAACTCAGAGTGGAAAAGAAAATGTAAAAAATGAAGGTAGGGATGAGAGAAGCTAGATTCGAGTTACAGATACCAGAAAGAAAGAAAGATTCCTGAAAACATAGAAAGGGAAAAATAGGGGAAAGAAAACATAAACACACGCAAGAAAACAATGTGGGAGTCTTACTGTTTGCATTTGTGTGCACGCGAAGCACTGACGGTGAGCGTGGTACGTGTGTTTGCTTCTACTACATCTCTTCTTCTCTGTGCTCAATGCTACCTGAACACATAGACAGATCAACAGAGAGGATTGGGCGATCTCAGCATGTATCCATCCCATCGTCCTCTCTCCTCTCTGACCCCTACTGAGGCACGGACATGGCGGTGCATCCACAAATACCGCTCACAATGCCAGGGCTCTCTGTGGAAGACAGGAGGGGAAGGAGGGGGTGCAGTGTGGAGGTGGAGAGGAGACGTGATTTGAATGTAGACGGCACTCATATACGTGTTGTTGAAGGAAAGGACAGAAGGAGGAGTGAAGTTAATTGATCGGCGCAAGGGGTTCATTTGGCTTGTTTGCTTTGTTTTTAGCAAAAATGTAATTACTTATTCTTTGTTATGTGCTATTGTGGAGAAAATCGATTGTGTCAGAAACACACACAATGCAAAGATAGACATGTGGCACTCAACACTGGATCCCTGAAAGCCATGTGTCCATCCTCCCTGCTCTGCTGGGCACGCTTGGTCTGGCTGAATACCATCTTTTGTCCCCTATAAGCATCTTATTTAGGTCATTGTGTAAACGAGTAACCTCACACACAGTTTCACATACACATAGACACAGCAGGTGCTGCACCAGTAGGATGCAGGCATGGGAGATGGGAAGGTGGGAGGGAGGACAGAGAATCTCCGGGGGAATCTATAGGTGTGTGCTTGTGTTGCATATGAATGTGTGTGTTTGTTGTGTGTATATCTAGGGGACTGCCAAAACTGTGGACCTGCATACATAAACACCAACAGAACTGCAAAAGCTGACAAACTCACATTCAGGCACATGCAAGTATATGCACGCTATATTCACACACTGCTTTGTTTCCTCACGCACAGATATACACACACACACACACATACACACAGATGAATAATGCTACTGTGCCTCTGGTGGGATGCACCACTGTCCCTGGGGCGGGCTGAATGCCGGAATATTGTGCTGGAACCGGCTGATACACACACAAAACACACACACACACAAAACACACACTCAGTGCTCCGTCTCCAGGTGACTCTGTTCCTTTTATAGAACAGAACACTCTCCACCCCTCCTCTCTTTATTCCTTTTTTGTATGAATGCATAAATACGCTCTCAAAAACACCCACACACACATGCATACACCGGAAAGAGATAACAGATAGACACAGCCACATGCACTCACACACTGGAACAAACACACCAAGCCCAAAAACACACCATATGAACCCCCTGCTGGTGTACTGAAAGCATGTGCGCAAATACACACTGTAAGACTTCCCACTTCCCCTTGGAGGAAATTGGAGTTTGCATCTGTGCAGGGGAAGACAGGGAGGAGAGAGGAGGAGAAAAACAAGTCTAAGTTGAACCTCTTATGAAACACTGCATCAAAGATGAATCAGATAAAATCGCTTCACATTATTTGTGTAAGTACATTTTAATATCTTGGAGTAGTTATGAAAAAGGGGCTAAGTCTGGGGATCATGTTTGTTCCAAAACAATAACAAGGAATAATGCATTATACAAAGTCAGCTGGAAAGCTAAATAGCCACAGAGGCTCTGTAAGTGAGTTCAGTTAGCAGGTCTCCCTTGAAAAAGAGATCAATGATCTCAATGGGATTTATCTGTCTAAATAAAGGTTTGAAATGAAATGAAGTTGAGAATGTGCTATGAACCAATAAGGATTATGCCTACAATCCTGCACCCATCTTACGCCTTCCTTCCCAAGACATGCACTGCACGCCTCACCTGTCTGCCACCTCCATCTTGAGAGGCTTACACAGAGACATATACAAACACATTCAAAGTTTCTTTAAAGCTGGAGAAGAAAAAAGTATTATATTGTTGTCGTTATTGTTGTGAAATCAAATTATATAAAATAAAGTGAATATAGATGTGTACATGTGTGTGTTCTAGTTTATGCTTGCTTAAACTCCTGGTGGAGGTCAAAATAGAAAGAGATGTTTTATATGAAAAGAGAAATGCAGAATGGCTGAACCTCATTGGCGCTAACCCTTGTATTTTTCTCTCTTTTCTTTCGCCCCCTCTCTCCTTGCCTTCAGAACCCCTAACCCCCCTTCCCCGTCTCACCTCACCTCCCCCTCCCAGCTCTGGCTACAGACGCAGAGAGTTATGCAGTCCTTCCGTGAGCGCAGCGGTGGTTACCACAGCAACCAACCCTGCTACCAGCAGGAGCCTCATGAATTATCCCGTCTGGAGACCTACCGGCAACACCCGCATCATCCCCACCCTCAGCACCCGCACCCAGGCCCCGGTCCACACCCAGTCCCTGGTCCACACCCAGTCCCCGGTCCACACCCAGGCCCAGGCCCAGGCCCAGGCCCAGGGCACACCAGGTCAGGCTATGAGGCTCATCCACTGGTGAACCCCACCACCATGCCTCCGGCTGGGGGACCGGGAACAGCAGGAGTACCCAAGGACTGTTACAGTCAGCAAGCATACCCTGGTTACCCTGGCAATGGTGGAGGGAATGGGAGTGGAAATGGGATCCCAGCATCCTCGCAGGCAAAGAAATCCTACAGAGGAAGCAAAGTGCCCCCACCAAACCCCGGACAACACCTACAGGGTCCCGGGGGCTATAGTAACCACATGGGCCCGGGGAGTTACTCAGCCCAGTATATGAGTGAGGGTCACCTCCAGCAGAAATGGGAGGACTCAGCCCAGTTAGCACAGTATGACCCAGAGATGGTGGGGCGTATGGAGGCTGGTGGGACCCCCGCACCTGTGTCTTCTCAGTATATGGACCAGAACATGCTGGGCCACTCGCAGACCCAGTGCCACCAGCCCTCCACCCCTGCCTATACTAGCCCCCACCATCAGCCTCACCCCCCTAACCCTTCCCCCTCCCCTCTCATGTACCCCCAGAGTCACCTTCATTACCCACAGCATTCACCCTCTCCTTCGCCATACATGGAAAAGTGCAGCCCTATGCCCCAGTGTTATAAAGGTTACAACATACCCCCCAACTCCCAGTATGGCAGACAAATGAGCAGCCACAGCAATCTGAAGCCAGGGGCTTACCGGTCGACCCAGAACAGTTACGGCTACCAGCAGACTCCCTCCAGAGGTTATGAGCAGCAGCCCCCTTTACAGGCCATGCCTAACCCCCAGGAGCCCCACCCTAAATACCAACACTACAGCCAACCACAACAGAACTACTGTCTCTCTGAGCTGTCTGTCAGATCACCAGAACAGTATTATCAGACCTGCAGCCCCTCCTCAAGCCACTCCCCTGCACGGTCTGTAGGACGCTCCCCCTCGTACAGCTCCACCCCTTCACCACTAATGATCAATCCAGAGTCGTTCCAGTATGTCCAACCTCCCATGACCCCTGGGGCAGCTTCATCCGCTTCATCCTCTTCAGCTGGTATACAGGAGCAAACCAATACCAACACCATGTTGATGCCCCCACGCTCACACCCCTCACCCAATGTGCCCCACGCAGCCCCCCACATCTACACTACGACGCCACAGGTCCCCACCATGAAAGAACGCTTCTCAGAGAAGCTGTTGTCAAACCCCAGCTTGTGGAGTCTGAATGCCCTCACCTCTCAGGTAGAGAACATCTCTAATAATGTCCAGCAGCTGCTGCTTTCAGAGGCTATGGTGGCCAACAAGAAAAGTGGTAAGCGCAGCAGTGGAGGAAGCAACAGCAGTGCTGGAACTGGAGCATCCACCAAAAAGGGTGAGGAGTACAAAAGTCCTGCTTATCCAGATGGGGGTGGTGGTAGTATTGGCGGAGGCGCCATGCAGGACCCTTATTCTACACCACAGCACCAGCCAATGCCCATGGAGCTCCAGGAGGGAGGATACTCCAGCAGTAGTGATGAACAGCTGGAGAGGGGATACTACTACTGTGGCCAGGGCAGAAGTCCAGCACAGGCCCCCAATAACACACAACTCAGCCTGGACACAGCCTCTTCCTGCTCGATGACATCTCCAGATGATATGTCCACCAGGTCTGGGGACTCAGGTCTGCACAACCTTACCCCTGATCCTAATAGATGTCAGTCATCGCAGGGAGGAGATGGCATGAGTACTCCAGTGAAGAGCATTGGTGATGAGAGGTCGCCGACAAGCTTTACAATCCCTAGTCCTATGAAACAAGAAAGAGACTCCCCTTCAGATATACAGCATATTAACGAGCCTGTCAAAGAGAACTTTGAAGAATCAGCCTGGACGGAGAAAACGTCCGAGAAAGAGGAGGTGTCCACACAAAACACTCCTGACCATGAAAGAGATTCAGACACAACTAAATCAACAGAGCATCTGGAGAAATGGTCAGATGAAGAAAAATGCCCAGCTCTCTACAGCAAAGTAAACGAAGAAGAGACAGAAACTAAATATTGCTATAAGGAGACTGTGTACCAAGAGGCTCAGAGCAAATATGACCCTGATACAAGAGACTCAGTTGAACAATCCCCAGCAGCTCTCTCTGACACCAGCCACAAGGAACACTTTGGCCATGAGATGAAATCCGAGGCGTTCAAGTCTGAGTCACCAACTGCGTCTGAGAGCTCAGTGAAAACGTTGCCTTTCATTTCTAGGGGTGACCTTGAACAGGATCAATATTCCACAGAGAAGGAGGACAGCTCAGAAAACCCCTCTCCCAGCCCCCAAGTTGAAGCCTTGGATGAGAGCAACTCAGACAAAAGAGAAAGGAGAGATGATGAGGATGAGGAAGAGATGGAGGAGGAGGGGGTTGGACAGGAGGAGGCCAATGAAGAGCAAGAAGAAGAAATACAGAAACAACAACCTTCTCTTTCCCCTCCTCTGTCTGTAGAGGCAAGGGAGGATCTCGGAGAGGGGGAGAAAGTGTCATCCACTGAGGAACACATGAATAACAGAGATGGGCAAGAAAAGCCTCCTGGAGATTTCTGCAGCAGGACAGAGAGTGAGAGTACTGAGCTCCAGACTGACAACGAGCCTTCAGGGGCGCATGCCCATCCAAATGCAGCAGCAGCAACAGCAGATGCTTCTGCGAGAGAGTCAGCCATTGGGGACACTGCTCCCCAGCCTCAGTCTGCTATGCCAGTTTTTTCGGCTCTCAATGACAAGACAACACCTTCAGCTCAGACCAGAGATCATATTGATCACATTGACACTAAAGTATTGGAGCCAGATTCTCCTCAGCTGCCAGGAAAGTCAATACTTCCCTCAGCCCCCTCCTGGGCTGACACTCCACCCTCCCCCAAAAAAGGTGATGAGGACATGGAGCCAGGCATCAGCTGCGCCAGTGCTGTGACCCCTTTGGCCAAGCCAGAACCTGTGGCCCCATCTGCTCAGCCGAGGGCATTTGGACGTAAGCATGCCAGGGGCAGGAGAAGAATCATGCATTCAGGTGTGGGAATCAGGCGACAGCAAGGCTTGGAAAGGGAGGGGGAAAAGGAAGAGGAAGGAGCCTCTTCACATACACAGAAGCTCTGCGTGCCTCTAAGCAAATTAGAGCTGTTTTCAGATCAAATTGACATAACTCATCAAGAATCTATTGTGAGCCAAACTCCCAAAATGCTATCTGATGGTTTTCGTTCAAGAATGTGTACTCGCTCATTCAATGCACCAGAGGTGCCACCCAAGGTTGAGCCTCATGTAAAGAGAAAACCAGGCCCAAAACCAGGACCAAAGCCGGGACTCAAACCTGGGCCAAAACCAAGTCCAAAACCAGGGCTTAAACCTGGTCTAAAGCCTGGACCAAAGCCCGGGCCAAAACCTGGACCTAAACCAGGACCAAAACCTGTGCAAAATGAACCTGAGCTGCCACAGAAAATTGAGACTCCTGTGAAAAGAAAACCAGGACCTAAACCAGGTTCAAAACCTGCGCCAAAACCTGGACCAAAACCCAGTCAAAAAGCAGCTCCAAAACCAGTACCGAAGCCTGGACCAAAGTCTGCAGATGTTTTGCCCCCTGATGACACCTCACCCATCAAGCCCTCAGTTGGTCGCCCCAAAGGCTCAGTTTCGAAAGCAAAGATCGTACAACAAGAAGAAATCATTCCACCTTTGCCAGACTTGCCTAGCAGGGTCAGGAAGAGCCCAACAGTTACAATATCACAAGTAAATCAGGATGTAAAAGCAGTAAACCAGGAAGAAAATAAACCAAACCCGGAGGTTAAGGCACCAGAAAAGGAGAGTAAGAACATGATATTGAGATCCAGAAAGCCCTCGCAAGAAAAACTGTCAAAAGAAAAAATCAAAGCGGAAGATATTCTGCCCCAGACATTGACAGAAATTAAACCCAGTGATGATTCACCAAAAGTAGAGGAGTCTGATATTTTGGAACAACCTCCAACTCCTATTCCTAATGCAGTCAAAAACAGAGATGTTCCAGCAGACCCACCCACACCACTTGCCCAACCAGTCCCAACTGAACCATCTGAAGAAAAGACATCACTTCCATTGAAACGGAAAACAAGCCCAGAACTTTCTACAACACCAGTAAAGAAAAAGAGAGGTCCGAAGCCCAAACCAAAAATCATACCACCCCAACCCCCTCTGCTGGAACAGGTTGTCTCCACACCTAAAGAGAAAGGTGTCAGAGGTACCAGAAGAAAGCGAGGGCCACCCAAGAAAACATCTTCAGTCGCTCCACCACCCAAAGACACTCCTCCAAACATCAGTGAAACTGATATCGCTAGTGATGTGCCTGTGGTGCCTCCTCAAGGCCCCACTAGAACGAAAGTTCTCCCACCACGCAAAGGCAGAGGACAGAAGTACGAGGCCATGGTGCAGAAAATAACATCTCCTAGTTCGAAGAAACACCTCCCAATTCCTCAGATAGACACTAATCTAACTGATGATGTGACAGCTAAGGCTTTGTCTCAACATGTCTTAAAGGAAGGTGAGGCAACTATGCTCATAAATAGCACTGAAATTATAGAGGGAGAAGTCAAAAGTATAGAGTCTAGACAAGAGGGAGTGAAACAACCTGAAGGAGTGGATAGAAAAAAGGAGATTACACGAGAAGAAGAAAAGCGTGAGGTTATTCAAGAGGCAGTAACACCAGATGAAGTGAGACAACGGGTGACAGAAGAGCTATTAAATAAGGCAGAGACAAGACAACAAAACTCTGAAACAAAGACACAACAGGATCCTGGAGCTGACAAGGTTTGGAGCTCAATAGACCCCCAAGAAGAAGTCAGGGCTCCAGGAGATTCTGCACTACAGGCCTTAGAAAGTGTATCTTCTGCTTCCAAGTCCTCGAGAACTAAAAGGAAGCGATGGGCAATGGTGGAGAGCACAGATGCCACAGTAGTAGCCTTGGAAGCAGGGAGCCTAATAGTTACAACACCAAGGCTGGCCAAGCAGAGGGCCATTAAAAACAACCATGAGATGCATCTAAAACAGAGGAGAAAGAAGAGAAAAGGCCAAGCTTCTCTGGAAGAAACAGAGACAGTTGAGGAGACAAATATTGAAACAGCAGAACAACAACATGAGAAGGAAGAAGAGAAGGTAACACCCACAGAGCCCACAAGACCTCTGCCAATCAGCACAGATGAGATTACAGAAGCCCCCCAGGTTACAAGCACAGAACTCATTAAGAAACCTAGGAGAGGCAGAAAACCTTCCACAAATCCAAGTAAGAGAAAACGAGGAAAATCCTCATTAGAGCAGATTCCAGGAAAGCCAATGAAAGTCCACAAAAAGCCTGGGCCAAAACCTGGGATGAAAGATGCCATGGAGGTTATTGAGGCAGTAGTAAGGGCTGCAGGGTGTGAAAGTATCCAAAAAGAGGAGAGAGAAAAAGAAGAAATGGAAAGAAGAGAAACAGAAATAGATGAAAGATCTGAGCCATGTATCATGGGTCCTGTGGTAACAGTAACAGAAAAACAAACTGAGATTGTTACTATGAAAAGAATCAGGCGCAAACCAGTCCATCAAAATCCCAATATGTCTTTCTGTCCTTATGTAAGGATTAACAACTCCAGAGACTTCTCTTCTTGGTGTGCCATAGTCAACAAGCCTGAAGATGCAGTAATCTTTCAGAGACGTAGAAAAAAAGGCATTCTCAGAATGAGAAATCCTTTCACAGTTGCAAAAGGTGTGCCAAACACTGCTGCCATGCTACAGGGACCCTTGGTAAAAATGAATCTAATTGACAAGTGTCTTACATGTTGCCTCTGCGGAAAGCCAGCAAATTACAAAGACTTAGGTGATTTGTGCGGCCCCTACTACACAGAGGATTGCGTACCACGGAAGATTTTGACCATGGAGCACACAGAGTCCCTCAGGGAAGAGTCACAGAAAACCGACGACAAAAACAGTAGCAGCAGTGACGAACCGAGCAACTCTTTAAAGAATGAGGGCGAGGGCAGCACAGAAAAGGAGGGCGGTACAGAGGCGTCAGCTCAAGAGGGCAGTAGTAGCAGGCACCATCATTGGCGCTATCGGCGGGCAGAAAGAGCCGAGAGAACGGGTCAGGAGGCTGGTCCACGAAGATTAAAGCTCCGAGAGAGGTTCAGGAGGATGCAGCAGCTTCAGGCTGTCAGCTCAGGGGCCTCGAGTGACCAAGAGAGGGGGGGCAGTGTGTTTCAACGGCTACAAGTAGAAGCAGAGAGTAAAGAGCACTGGGCCCATGAAAACTGCACCATCTGGACCAAGGGGGTAGTAATGGTAGCTGGGAGGCTCTACGGACTGAGGGAGGCTGCCAGCAACTCAGCCCAAGCGGTACGATAGCAATTACAAACATGAAGTCAATTCTAAAAATGTGTGCATGCTTACGGAACAAAAAATACATATGTTGCAGGTTCTTTGAGAAATTGAAGTTAACTTTTGACTTTTTTTCTCTTTTTTTCCTCTCTATGTCCCTCTATTGGTCATTTTGAATGTTACTATATTGGTCTTGGTCCATATGCCCGTCTGTCTGACTAACTTCAGAGCTGCTTCAAGTGCCAGATTGTGGGGGCGTCCCTCAGCTGCTGTTGGAGAGGATGCTCTCATAAATACCACTATGTCTGCGCCAAAGAGATAGGTAAGAGACCACAGCGACAGAATGAAGTAAGCAACAAGGGATGGAAGTGTGGAGGGAGGTCAGAAAAACTGAGGGGAAATGATGAGCGATATTGGGAATGTGAAATTGAGCATGAGTTTAGAGGGAAATGGGTAGGGGAACAAATAAGGAAGGTAGGGGGAAAAAGAAAAGGAGAGGGAAGAAATCAAGGGGAGGGAAAATGGATGTGGGTGGAATGAGAGAAGGAGAAAGCATCAAGAAGTAACATTATTGAGTGCGAGAAAAGATATCTCAGAGTGCTAGGGGAGAAAGAGGAAAGTGGGGAGGGAACAGGAGCCTTGAATAAAGGGGATGATGAGAGGAAAGTGGGACCCTGGAGTGTGCAAGAGGGAGAGGGGGATGAGATAGAGGGAGGAGGGTGTGTATGCGTGCATTATTGACCACAACCCCTGTGGCTCCATCCATCCATTCTGCTGTCTGGGGAATGTGTGTGTGTGTGTGTGTGTGTGTGTGTGTGGTGTGTGTGGTGTGTGTGTGTGTGGTGTGTGTGTGTGTGTGTGTGTGTGTGTGTGGTGTGTGTGTGTGTGTGTGTGTGTGTGTGTGTGTGTGTGTGTGTGTGTGTGTGTGTGTGTGTGTGTGTGTGTGTGTGTTAGCATGCATCGATGTGTGTGCCTTCCTGCATGAACGCTGGCTCAAAAACTTCACTTGTGCCACGTTCCCTTCAATTCTTGTGAGTGTGTGTGGTGTGTGTGTGTGGTGTGTGTGTGGTGTGTGTGTGTGTGTGTGTGTGTGTGTGTGTGTGTGTGTGTGTGTGTGTGTGTGTGTGTGTGTGTGTGTGTATATGTGTGTGTGTGTCTTTGATCATTGTTGTCAATATAAGTTAGTGTCTGTGTGTCAGCACATGTGTTGTATGGCTTCCCCTTACATTACCTCATGCCAAGGAAGTACAGTGTGAGGATTAGAAGGCCTGCCACGTCTGCCGAGCCTGCACAGGGTGCAGAGCGAGGCCCTTTTTAATCCTGCTGAGTGCACCAGCCATATCTGACTGCCTGCCTGCCTGTATCGCTACTCACCCTCTCAGCCTCTTCTGTTGCTCTCTCGCTCTTGCTTTCTCTCCCTCTCTTTCTCCCCCTATCTACCTCTTTTGTGAGCATTTTTCATTTTAAACTTACCTGTATGTCATATATCATTATATTTCAAGGGGGGGGGGGGGGGGTTCTGTGCACTCGACTCATGCTATTGGTTCATTTATTATTATTGTTTATCTGCAACATTGTAGCTTATTCTCTTCTCCTTTTCTTTGTTTATCTTTTCCTGCTTAGGCTGCACATTCCATGAGGATGACTTCTCCATCAAATGTCCTAAACACGAGGTAAGAAAATGACTAGTGAATGAATGGTCATTAATGCTCATATTATTTCTTTTTGAGGGTTTAAAATACAGCATCCTGCTTTAACAGTGACTCATACATTGAAAAGGGAGGAAGGGTTGGATGGAGAAGATGTTGCATCTCCCAGGGTAACAACCTTCAGATTTTTGTGATTTCATATATTTTCATGTAAAGTGGGCGTCCACAGGATTGCATTTCCATTAGAGCTCTTATAACCTCTCTGCTCAAAAACGCTGTGCATGTGGTTTTGGTTTTTTTCTCCCTCATCCCGCTCCCCATCACACAAAACATTTGGTTCACACATTTCTGTCACAAGCAACAGCACCGTGGCTGGATAGACGATACTGTGCAGAACAGAAAACTAAATTGTCAGCTCTTGTAAAACAGAAAGAATCAGAGGGGGAAACACAAGGTTTCAAGTTGGTGTTTGTTGTATCACATAACCTATTATCTACTCCAATGACAAGAGAGTCAGGATCTCATCTTGGGCTGACCAATATTTTGTTACCTAATCAATATGTACCCAATGACCTTGGCAAACTGAACCCATATCAGCCACCAGTCACCAGGGTAAATACTCTGTTATGTGACCTGTGTGTATTACTGTCACTCAACACCCACTGTTATGACTGCCGACCGCTGCAATTACAACGGGTTACTGACTGTATTTGTGTTCATATGAAACGTCCACTCCACAGTCAGCTTTCCTGTAAGACAGACGCCATCTGGTGGTGACGAAATTACACTGCAGCACAAAGAGGAAGGTCAAATGCAGAGGGGAGGGGGGGGAGGGAAGTAGAAAGGGAGAGATGCTGACATTCAGCAGGGAGCAGCGGTGCATTGAGGCAGCAGTGGCAGTAGCCTCCCTCCCTCCCTCCCCTCTCTGCCTCTCTCTGCCTCTCTCTCCCCTTCCTGTTCTCCTCCATGCAGACTGACGGGGATGAAAAGCTGGCTGATGATCAAAACACCCCACCCAGCATCACTGCTTGCTTTCCTACCCTCATGCTTTCTCCACCCTTATCTCTCCCTATTTCTCTTGTTATTTCCTCATGTGTTCGCCTTATTTTGCTTGTGCGCCTCCCTGCTGTTTCAGCTCCCTCACTCTGTTCACCTCTCATCTCCTGCGAGCTCCCTTTTTTCCTCCATTTTTTGTCCCCCCTTCATCCCTTCCTTCTTCTTTCTCATCTCCTCTTCTCCTCGCCTATCCTCACCTCAACTCCCACGACTGACTAGCAGAAATAGAGCATGTGAAACAGAGAAAAAAGGAAAGGCAAGACAGAGAGAGATTGTTGTTAGCGAGCTGAGGCAGAGCTGTCATCAGCTAAGGGATCTGAAGGTCTGTGTGTGGGTCTGTGCTGCGCCAATTTAGGCTGAGCAGCCTAATCAAAGGGAAGAGCAGGAACATACGAACACACACACACATAGACAATCACCACCCCACCCATGGGTCCCCCTCTGAAATTCTCCCTCTGCCTGTGTTCACTTGGTTTGAGGGCTGGAACACACATATTGATGAAATCTCACACACATATAGAGCTAATGGACACACACTGTGCGCTTCTACACAGGTGTATTAACAAGTTACCTGTAAGCTCACTAACATAATTATGCACATATTGAGCGGCAGAGAGTGAAAAGCAGGGAGAAGTAAAGACAGTGTTGTGCTGCGGCTGAGTGGGAACAAAAGAGGAATGGGGGGAGTTACATCAGAGTGTGACAGCATAAAAGAGACAGGGATTGGAGGAGAGAAGAAGGGCAAGAGAGACAAGCCGCTCTCAGTGAAGGAGGAATTTAGATTGAAGGGGAATTAGTTAATTTAGGGAGGTAAAGAGAAAGAGAGGAGAGGAAGAAGGAGAGAGAGGGAGAGATAAAAGAGAAAAAGCTGCTCTGAGGGCAGGCCATAAGGATGGGCAACAGAGAGAAAGACAGAGAGAGTGAACGAGAGATACTTGGGGGCTGCAGAGGAGAATAAGGGGAAAGAAAGCACTCCTCCACAACACACCAGCGCAATTAGTAGGCGTTCCTGCTGTGTCTTTCTCAGTGGAGCTGGTTCACTGGCCAGCTGCATCCATCTCTCCACCGCTGCACACGGCAGCCAGCTCACCTTCATGTCTGCATATCTGCACAGAAACACTCACAAAGCTGCAGGTACAGCATATACACGAGAGCTCCCACCTGCAGAAGACATGGACGCACGTACATTTATTGCAGCTTTTGTGTTCATAAAACACATTTTTAGCACTTAAATAATGCAGATTTTCTGCAATGCTGTGGAGACAATGTAGCAGTCATAGAGGGAATACCTCAAAACCTCTCTGCGTGTATTTATGAATTCATCTGTCTCTCTTCCCTTTTTCTACAGGACCTGTAAGATATTCCAGTTCATCACCTCCAACACAAACACCACCTCTCAGCCAGAAAGGCGTCACTTATCCAGCAAGGCAAACAGAGATGTTGTCCTAACAGCCACCTATACCTAAAAAACACAAGGATGACTGACGGCGGACAGGCACATCAAGCCAGTGGAGATGGGGGAGGGTAAAAAGGCTGCTCTGAGGTGGAGGTAGGAGCAATACAAACCCCGGGAGAATGGCTCCGCAGAGAACAGCTGCTCCCTGAACCCCGGCCCGGAAACGTGTTTTCTCAACTGAGCCCCTTACTGGGAGGCAGAAGGCAGCGGCACTGTTTAACAGGAGGAAAGACTGCGCTTTGGAGACTGTGAATCTAGAGCCCAGTGCACAGGGGGGGCTCCTTTAAATGCAGAGCGAGGAACGTGTGTGTGTTCTGCCTTCGGATGGGTTGCTATCATATTCAGACACCTGGCGGACAGTGATTGGACAGGAGCATCCCTCTGGCCACCTTGTCTGTGAGCCAAGAAGTGTGTATGCGTGTGTGTCTGTGCGCGTGTGAGTGGGATAATCACATTGTCATTCTACAGCCACACCCATCCGTGTGTTTGGGCATTATGTGTGAGTGAAGAAGTTCGTCTCCAAGATGTCATTGCATCAAAAAAGCAGCAGCAGCAGCCAACCACTGGATGTACTATCTCAATGTGTGTGTTTAAAACAAGAGAGAAAACGAAACAAAAAAGGAACTGTACATGATGACGTGCTTTACAGGTTCTAAATATTCTGATATTGAAGAGTTCCGGAAAAAAATGGACGCAGTATTTTACTATAATGCTCTTATCTTCGGAGATGTATTTTGATGTGCATTATGACTATACAACATCATTGCGTCACTCTTGGTATATGTCAGGCTTTGTTGTAATTCCGAAATTAACAGAAAAAAATGAAAAAACTAAACTCTGTTCAAGAGTGTTACCCCATTTCAACTGTGTGCACATTCAATATACAGTAGACGACGCCATCATCACTCGACAGGTTGCAAATCGGGGCTCCGAGGGTCCAACCGGGAGTCAGGTCATCTCACCTCATATCTATGTACAGTTCAGAAGTATTACTGTTAAACATGGCCATCATGTATGATTATTTCACCCACAACAACATCGCAGAAAGACACACATTCACTCCAGATTTCATAACACTCCCGTCTGTTCGTGTATCTCAGATGTAGCCTCTTTCACTCTTCCATGCTATGTAACAACGCCCTGGACAGGGTGTGAGATTAAGTACTGGTCATATCAAAAAGAGACATATTTAAGTATTAGAGCATAAAAGAAAGTGCAAAAACGCCACACCAAACGTTCTCTTTTATGAAGCTCATTATTTAATGGTGTATATAAGTATTTGAAGCTGTTTAAATGTAAGATGTGATGTACTATTATAATTGTGTATAGTATTTCCTAGAGATGTTTATTTTCTATAAAATGGAATATGTTATTGCTTATAAAATGTTATTAAAAGAATCCATTGATGAAAAAAAATTACCTTTTTTGGGAATGTCACTTGTCATAAGTTGGAGCATGTCGTTTTATTGATTTCCATGTCTATTTGTTTGAAATCGATGACACAGCATCACTTTGTTTGAAATGTTTTTTGTAACGCCAATGTTAAATATACCAGCACCTTTCATGCTGCTATGACCAACGCCTGCTCTTTTTTGTCTTTCCTGAATACGCACTGACATCAACACCATTTGGATCTGCATGGCATCACCGGGCAAAGGGACCACAATGAGTCATAACAGTGTTCATTATCAAAATGATGTCAACACTTCCAATCTGGTTATAAACATATCAAGCAATCACATTTGAGAAATGAAAGCCTTATCTTAACAACCTAAATAATAAAGCAAATGATTACAGATAACTATTACCGATAGAAACACCAAAGGAGATTCAGTTCAGAATAATCACAGATTTTCTTTGGTCAAAACTTGTTCTTGCCTTTTTCATTCAACCACAAGAAGTGCATAATTTCGAGTTTGGAAAAGGGAGACATTTAATTATGTGTATTACAATTACCCCCATTACAATGGAAAGCACCACAGGAAACTGTAAATCCTTCCTTACAAAATGCTTTAATATTTACATCATAAAGAGATGAAACCGAAGAACAAGGAAGAGATGAAAATATATCAAAGTTAAAGAACACATGAATAACACCTTTAGACATTGCTATGTCTCATTCATCTCAATCCATCATCTTTCAGTCTTTCACATTAGTGACACTTTAAAAAACATACTCGTTCTGAAACAAAAACACATGCCAACGATTTTTTTCTTTTTCTTACAGTCCTTTAAAAATCAACAACAATGTGTGGTTCTCTAGGAACATTTAACTATAATGACTGAAAGAGCAAGTGTGGCTCTTCGTGTTGGAGCTAAAAAGGAAAACCAGTTTCACTACAGGCCCTCTTTGGATAAAAAACGAATCATTTGAAATGTTCTTCATTGTATAACTTGTTGCAAAAGTGTTCCTCTGCAACTTTATAGTGTTTAATCTTTGTGATGCCAGAATTGGACGCTGCCAATATGAAGAAAAAAAAAATCGTAGCTGCATACGTGTGCAACAGTGCAAAAGGTCAATTGAGTCAGACGATGTGACGCAAATAACTTGCACTTGATTTTGACACCCATTGCCATGGCAACACATTACAGTAACTCCATTATATGGGCCTGGAGAAAAGCTACCAAATAAACTCAGTTTAGGGGAAGAAAATAAGCATTATCAATCTGCTTTGTAAAATACTTCTTACAGATTATAAATACATTTTGAAATATGTACACGGCAAAACAAATAATGATCTCTATGAAAATAACTCCATAAAGCCACATTTCTATTTATCTCATTGAAATCAGCCTTGCAGGGCTAGTGCAGATTGACACATGGAGCGTCCAGTGGGTCACCTCTCCTGGCATCAAGTCAAACTTGATTCAAATAAACTTTAACACTTTGTGAACTGGCGGAGTGGCTTCCCACTGAACGAGCCCATGGGCGGACCAATCAAGTCCCTTTCCTCAACGAACAACTGACGCCTCACTCTGCGGCCAATCAGAGCAGCCCGCCACTCCAACCCACTGAGCAGTCCTGCTTAAGGTGCATTTATGTCGAAAAGATCGGGGTGGGACTGAATAAGTGCAGGGCAAATATCTCTTTCATGCTTCACTCTCACACACACATACACACACACTCACACACTCACTCATTCACACTGAACAGTCTACTTAGAGGACGTGACGGCTCCTCATTGTGGTCAAACTGTGGCACTGCAACCGAAAATGTTCTTATTCTGGTAATAATCCATAGCAACAAGAGTGTTACCTCTACACACACAGTGCGTCCTGATGTGGGGATTAGGTGTTGGCAGGGACAGTCCATGAGAAAAATCTGTCAGTTTGATATGAATCTGGATAGTTAAGTCAATCTGTTCAATAGCTGCACGCCAGAAATGCCAGAGAATGTGTGGCTGTGTCTCTGCTGATATTTTCTTTTTTGTCTGTGTGTTTTTGTATCTCAGAGATGTTTCTATATACAGTGTCCATACATGTCTCTCAGCCCCTCCCCAACCTTTCTGCTCTCTAGCTGTTGGTGACAGTAGTGCCGCTGCCCAGCTTGATGATCATTTGCTGGCAGTCGTGGAGGGTCCTCTTGTCTCCCAGCTTCTCCAGGGTGCGGGCAGCGTCTGCCAGCATGCCCACCCGTTGGCCGGGGGCCGAAAGGAAGGAGGGGGGAAGGTAGCGGCACGCCAGCATCACAGCCTCCGCCTGCTCCCGCTGGCCCGGCCGCGTCTCGCACTCCTCTGCACACAAAAACACAAAGAAACGTTGTTACCATGGTAATTTCGGAGGAGCTTTACGATGTACGATCAGCCACTGACGGGCAATCACACTGCAGCAGCTTCTTGTTTAATTACTGATGGGATTTAGTGTTGTGAACAATTGGACAAAATAGATTAGAAGCTGATTAGAGCTACGAATTACCGCCATTCAGTGTATCCCAGCTTTTATTTAAAACGAAGCAAGAAAACACACATCTAAAAACACTGCTTGGAGAAGAGCGGAATCCACAGTTGAAGTTTATCAGTAAGTTTTAAAAGTGTTTATTTGCCAACTGCTTTAAAGTTAATTAATTACAGCTTGATGACTCATTAATATAACTCGTAAAACAATGTGCAATTAAGATTATGTTATCATAGCCTCCACATGGCCTACAATATCTGAGTATAGTCGATACACAAAAAAAAACCTACAGATGCTGAACGCCTGAATACATCTTTAAAAATATGATGCCACCTTTAGTTGGTTTAATAGGCAATCCATAAATGTCAAATACATCAATAAACAGAATATATCCCATCTGGTAAATTAAGGTTTGTGGACAAACATAGAAATAGAACAGACATTTAGAGCAGCAAAAAGTTAACTAACAATTGTTGTTGCATAGTTGATGAAAATATTAAAACAAACACACACCTGTTTTGGCTCCGGTCGTTGCCCTGCGTCGCAGCGAGCGATCCAGGAGCTGATGTGTGCGGGTGGGACTGGCCCCCGCCATCAGCCTGGCTGTAGCTTCATGAAGGAACAACTGGAAAGAGATGAAGGGAGATAAATGAGGAGGAGGGATGGTGACTCATACACATATCCAGCTCTACCTCAGAGAGACTTTGAAGCCTAGTGAATAACGCTGCTAAACACTTGCCTCAGGGGTGTATGTGTGTGTGTTGTGTGTGTGTGTGTGTGTGTGTGGTGTGTGTGTGTGTGTGTGTGTGTGTGTGTGTGTGTGTGTGTGTGTGTGTGTGTGTGTGTGTGTGTGTGTGTGTGTGTGTGTGTGTGTTGTAACACCTCCCATCTAATTTCCACAGAGAATTGCACCGTGACCTGCCTGCAAATATGTGCACAGGAAGTATTTGGATGTATATTCTGGACGCAATGCACTTTTCTTAATGTGTTGCCATTTTGGCTGACTGTTTGCCATTCCAGCCCTTGATGCCTGTGCCTCGACACTTTAAAATCGGTTTATGAGGATTTTATGAGTCATGGTTTTTTTTTTTTTTATAAACTTTTATATTTATTGAATTTTTGTTTGCATGATTAGTCATTGTTTTCAGTGCTTGACAATAAAACACAGGAGTTGGTGTATTTATCTTGTTTTGTGTCTGTCAATTGTGTTTGGATGTCTGCTTTTGTGTTAGAGTGAGAGGAAATCAAAATGAACGATACAAAAGACAATACATTTCCTTTAAACTTTGCAGTACGTACTCTCCGCATGGCAGGTCTGAAGCTGTGTGCCAGTTTGCGTAGGGAGCTGAGATCTTGCTGAAAGCCTTGGAGCTCCGGTGGGGAGGCCTGGTGGACCCCTGCAGGGCCGCTGGTGCCCACCAACCCTGACCCCGCAGGACCGGCCCCCTGCTGCTGCAGGCGCCACACGTTGGTCCTCATCACCAACAGGAGATCACACAAGAGCAACTGGACAACCTAAAGAGAGAAATGGCCAAGAATAGGATACATTAAAATGCTATTGATGCAGTACAGTAACAGACTGATGACCTGGATAATGAAATTAGAGTGTAATTATTTTTTAAATAACATGGTAATTATTTTTATAGTGTTAATGTACACGCTAAATCGTGGCATTAATTGTAATTATAAGAAACAAACATTCAATACTCAGAAGGATAGCACAAAAGATCACAGAGATATTAGCCGGCTCCAGTCAAAGATGAAGGGCATTCTGTACCCTCATTATGTGTGTGTGTGTGTGTGTGTGTGTGTGTGTGTATGTGTATGTGTGTGTGTGTGTGTGGTGTGTGTGGGTGTGTGTGTTGTGTGTGTGTGTGTGTGTGTGTGTGTGGTGTGTGTGTTCTGCTGTTAGTGGGCCAGCTCTGTGTTGCACTGCAGGAACATTGCACTCCGCTGAGACACACATGCAATGCAACTACAATGCACAACAGCTCTGGCCGCAGACGTGCACACACTGTGAGCTACCTATCCACCAGCATCACCATCTGCTGAGCGCCAGAGGGGAGACCACCACCCTATCACAGAGGAGCTGCTGCAGGGGGATTCACACTCTGTGGGAAAGTGTGTGGCGTTGTATTGTGAAATGTGTGTGTGTACTAAGTACTAAGTAATTATGTATGGGCAATTTTCTCTGTTTACAATATATGCACACACATGTTTTGGCACATCTGTCACTCTGTGCATTTGCATTTGTTTGTATTTCTAATGCAAATGTGGTTGCCCTCATAAAACAAAAATATAATGAGCAGAGTGCCTGTGTGTGTGTGTGTGTGTGTGTGTGTGTGTGTGTGTGTGTGTGTGTGTGTGTGTGTGTGTGGTGGTGTGTGTGTGTGTGTGTGTGTGTGTGTGTGTGTGTGTGTGTGTGTTGGTGTGTGTGTGTACCTTGTCTAAACTGGAGCTGTGGCAGTGGGGTCCGAGGTTGAGGCTGTCCCGAAGCAGAGCGCTGGCCTTGTCGCTGTAGCTCAGACTCAGCTGGCAGTTTTCAGGTTTGGACAGCAGAGCCCGCACTGCCCTGAATGTGTTCAGACACGCCTTGGGCAGGAGACTCCTGACAGAGCGAGGGATCAGAGAGACAGAGGACACAGGTTAAAGAAGAGGAAGTGTGTGTATGTGTTCTCTGTGGAAAAAACCTGTGCCACACTCTTAGGCTGGCAGGGGAAGTTCCTGTGTGTTCATGTCAAACTCACTCTGCGTTCTGCAGGCTGCGCGGCAGGTGCTCAACAGTTGGGTACAGTCTCTCTGCTGCGGCGTCATCTCCTTGGAGCCAATTGATAATCACCACGGTAACCGAGGACCACCACTTGGAGTGGGGGTCGCAGCCTGGAAGTTGGAACAAAAACGGTGAAAAGCGAGACACCCACAGACAAACAAACAAATGCAAGTATTTGAATCCCCCATTGCCCACTTTCACATTTAACATGAATTAGAGTACGGGCACACACACACACACGGACAGCTGCTGTCTGTATTTTGACCTCTGAATCAATCCGTTTCACCCCTCTGGCGTAATCACAACATGCGGAGAGAAAGCTGCCATTTTGACGACTCCCTCATTTGGGAAAATTACTCCATTTAACATTTGGGCAACACGAACAAACTTCTGACACTGTGAGTAACCTGAGGCTCTGCCAAGAAAAGTCTCCTAATAAAATCCCTGCTCCCTCCCTCCCTCCCTCCCTCCTCTCAAGGTGATCACAGATTTGACAGCACTGAAGATAGATGAAGCAATCTAGTGGATGCCTCCCTTTCACAAGTCCCCTTTCGCTTAGATGTGTGATCATTGAGGACAAAGGAACGTGGAGGGAGTGTGCAAGTCAACCAAGTGGAAATGAGGTTACTCAATCTCGATAGTGTAAGAATTAACTTTATCCATCCACTTATTATTTTGCAAGCACATTAGGAAAATCAAACAGTCAGGGGAAGGTGACTGAAGGATGCTGTAAAGGCAAATTCAATTATCTCAGATAGAAAAGTAGTAATGAAGGAAGGAGCCCTAATCAAAAACTCAATGTGTTGATGGGACCAAGCAACAGAAGCAGTCTTAGTCAGTAAGAGTTTGGTTGCCATGGTTTAAAAATATGTTTTTAGTCAGTGTCTTTAAAGTGCTTGGTTTGTGTCTCCTCGTGTAAATAAAGGACAGGCACTTACCGGTCACAGTGGCCATATTGGAGCCGATGGCAAAGGACTGGGAGGTGGCTCCAGCAGCATCTGATGCACTTATCAACAGCTGGAGATACTCCAGGGCATCAGCATACTCCCTGAGGAGGGAAACACACTGAATGGTTATTCTCCACCACAAATATTACTACCAGTTCATTTTTTAGTTATGCTATCCTTTGTTTATTGTCCAAATGTAATGGTATACACATTTCAGTTTGGCAAACAGTATTAAAAACTGTTATTTTCTCACCCTTCTCCCTGGTCGGGACTCTTCTCTCCGTGAGGCTGAGCCACACAGTACAGAGCTTTCTCCAGTAGGTGTTCCCTGAAAGCCTGAGTCACCTGGGCCAGAGGATCCACTGTGAGAGCACCAAGAGATCATTAACATGAGGAATACAACTGTGTGCGTGTTCAAAACAGAGGTCAAGGCCACATGGAGTGTGTACTACATTTTTGTCTGCACTGACCAGTATTGCCCGCCTGGCTGTAGATGCTTTCTTTAGGAGTGCTGCGAATAGCCCAATCCCCATCCACAAAGAAGCGATGACCTAGAGGGTGACACAGCCACTGCATAGCTGGAGGAACGCTGCCGCTCGACGACAGGCACGCCTGGCGGGCGCTGCTCAGGAAAACACGCTATCGGGAATAAAAAACAAAGTTAAGTTCACTTTCATTTCTAACATAAATTGATTATGGAGAGAACAACAAAGCTTGTAGGTCACAAATTATGTTTCCTCAGGTCCCAAGGTCATGTTAATGAGACACGAGCCAAACATAACCTCTAAATGACTTGCTGTTAAGTGAATACTATTTGAACTCTAAACAGAATAATGTGCAAAAGCGTCATTCTGACAGCATCCAAGCATAAAATATTCAATGATATATGTCAAACGTAGCAATTGGCTTTGTGCATGTGCAAACTAAGGGGACTTACAGAAGTAAAATGCAGGATCCTTGGCATGCTGGCTTTGACCCGTAGAGCTGCGGACACGTAGACCTCAGCCAGACTGGCTACAGGCAGACAGGAGCCAGCACACTCTGCCAGGTTCACTGCACTCAGTGCCATGTGCACTGCTGACAGGTGGCTGCCATTCAGCTTACCTGTACGCACAGAAATAAGACAAGAAAATGATATGTATATGTTTTGAATATATATATATACACAAGTGATAGAATAATCCGGAAAAGGCTTTGCAACGTAAGCCAATAAACCTTTTTTCTTCTTATCATCATAAGCTGATGGAGCTTTAGTCACCTGATATTCTGCCACTACAATTAGCCACCAGATAGTGTGCACCGATTTAATTTAGAAACAGTGTTTTCCCACCAACCCACCTGTCATGTGAAGCTGGTGCAGGCGGTGGTAAACCAGGGCGGCGTCCCGGCTGCTTTTGCAGGCGTCCTCCTTCAGCGGGCGGTCAGACCGCAGCCCTCCTGCCCTGGCAGCCAACCAGCGGCCCACCCAGAGGCGCTGGAGGCAGAACCTTAGCAGGGACCAGAGCGCAGAACAGGCCAGGTCCAACTGGGAGATGGGTAACGGACGACCAAGAGCCTTTAGACACGTCCACAGATTCTGACTGGCCTGGGCGAAATCTCCCTGGGGAGGAAGAAATAAGAAGAGATTAAATGAAACTCCTCAGGAAGAGTGCTGGCATGTGGAGCTATCCTTTGGAATGTAATGTTTCTTCAAAACGTTTTATCTGTGTGTATTGAGTAAAAGGAAACATACTCTAGCCAGGTCCAGGTCAGCCTGCTTGCGGTGCCTCCAGAACAACACAGAGGATCCAGAGTGTGGTCTGGTTACAGGCTCTCCATACACCAGCAGTCGGACCAGAACCCCCGACACCAGAACACCGTTCACCAGCCACACCAGTAAGGTTGGCAGCATCCAGTCCATCCAGCCCCACGACTCCGCTGCAGAAAACACCTTTCATTTAATATTTTGTAGTCATCATTTAAACTTAGACCAACATTTCAAGATTGTTGAAGTCATTATTGTCTAATCTAAATTGTTACTTTAAATAAAGTATGTAAAACTTAGTTTACCGTTTACAGTAAACTGGGTTTTTTTTCTGTTTGTTTATTCCACAAGTCAACTTGAATTGATGTTTTGATTATCATCAAGGATATGCTAGCTCCGGTTTCCTTCGCGTCTGATGTGAGACGCCATGAAATACAAAACGAACAAACAAATGGTTGATTTCAAATATTGAAATATTTTGTAGTATATTTTGCTAATTAGTTAGCATAATTCAAGGAGAACTTTTAAATTCAAGCATATTCCTTACATTATTGTTAAAAATTCCAGAAAAATTGAATATATGTTTTCCACGAAAATCATAACATGAAGTAGGGCTGCTCGATTATGGCAAAAATCATGATCTCGATTATTTGGGTCAATAATTGATATCACGATTATTAAAAACGATTATCCATTTACTTTGAAAACATCAATTTATTGAAAAAGAAAATGTGTAGTATGTTTTTAACAGTTGAACTTTAAGTATAATTCAATTGAAAAATAAAAATAAAAATAAAAAATTGAAAAAAATGTGTATTTAAATAAAGATAATCGTTTTATTTCGATTATGTTGTTTTCATAATCGTTGCAAGCCAAAATCGTAATTGCGATTAAAATACGATTAATTGAGCAGCCCTAACATTAAGTCAGGGCCCTTAAATTTCCGAGCAGCTCATTTCTGTGACTCTCTACTGACTTCATTCTACCTGCGATATCCACACCCAGGACGCTCCTTCCTGTGTGAGGTGTGGCTGCTGAGCTTCCAGCTGAGCTGCTGCCGGATGCGCAGAGCAGGGCAGCCAGAGGGTTGAGAGAGAGGAAGAGGAAGGTGAAGGCGCACAATGCCATGCGAGAACGGTCCAACATGCCACCAGCGCTGCCTCCTGCTGCGGATTTGTCCACGATGCCCACAGTAGGCTGCTGAGTTGAAGAGAGACAAGAGAGATACATTTATATAAGCAAACATAATGATTGACAGAGACTGTAACGTCATATTTTATTCTGTTTATGAAGTACAATGGTGATGGCCCTGATTCTAAATATGGCATGAATCATGCAAAGCTTTAATACCTTAGTGTCCTCCACCATCGGACTGTCGGGCTCTGAGTCACTGCTACAGTGAGAGAAAGAGGTGGGGGAGCCCACGTCAGAAGCAGGTGGGGTGGGCAGCTCATTCTTCACATCAGCCGGTGTATCGACCTCCATGGCAACCAGGTCTTTGAGAGACTCTGAAGAAAGGAAAGACGCGGAGAACAGTTAGAAGGTCAATCAGCGGGGCAACAGTAAAGACATCTTCAACACTCAATTTCATCTACTCAGACGCTGTAGAGGACTGTTTTCATTGCTGTCAATTCAGGATAACAGTAGCTAACTAAGACCTCATCACAAAAGGTCAACTGAATGACTTCAAGAAATAGAAATTAATTGTAGAGACCTGTTATGGAATAAAGAAGAGCGACAGGTTTTAAGCACGTACTGTTTTTCTGGGCTGCCATTTTAAACGCCATGTTCTCCTGTTTGAGCTTCTGGTTGGTCGACTGCAGGAAACGGATGTAGTCGAGGGTTTTCCTCAGCACTGCAGACTTGTTGAGCTACAAGAAAGAAGAAACATCACATTATAAGCTTCTTCCTCTTTTCAATGTTGATTGACAGATTTTTCTTTGACAAGGATATATTGTAATGCAGATAAATATCTTTCTTACCTTGGCCTCGGAACCAGCCACCAGATCTTTGAGCTCGAGAATTTTGTCATTAATAGAGGAGCGGTAACGCTTCTCAATTGCATTGTGGGCTGTGCGCTTCTCTCCCTTGTGTGGCACGCCAAACTGCTTGCCGCTGATGGCAATGCGGTTAATGGGCATCTTATCAGTGTCCATCATGACTGGCACCGTGGTCAGGATGGTACCACCGCCCATAAAGGCCTGGAAGGGCAAAGACCGCTAAAAATAGAGAAAGACAGTTCCATAAAGTATGCACAGTAAATCACATTTTGATTATTGTATGAAGTCAGGGTTGCATTTGATGTGCCTACCTGCAGTGAAGTGCTCTGTACTGGGGTGGTGCTGGACAGGGAGGTGGAGGAAGCCATAGTGGTCAGCAGCAGAGACTCCGCCTTGATGAACTGCGGCTGCAGCAACACCTGAAAAGATACACACACAAAATAGACAAAATATCAGTATAGATACACAGTTCTGCTCTTGGCTCCGTAAAACACAAACAATGAGTACACTGAATTTGATTTGCATGTAGAAGTACATTCAGGTGCCAGTCTGAAACACTTACAGGTACTTGCTGCATTTGCTGCATTTGCTGTACTTGCTGTACTTGCTGCACTTGCTGTACTTGCTGCAATTGCTGTACGTTGGGTGCGATGGTTTGCAGCGGCGGGCTCACTGACGTGGCCATGAGGGGAGACGTGGCGGTCAGCCCTTGGAGCTGAGCCTGGATGGTCATTGGCTGAACACTTGGAGGCGAGGATGACAGGATGGTGGTGGGTTGGCTCACACTGCTGGGACTGGCAGCTGGAAAATAGTTGCAAAATATTATTTTAACCTTCATTCAAGGATGTATAATTGCAATATCCACATTTTATAACATGCCTTTTAGAAACTTGATAATGCAATTCAAAGTTCTAATGTAGTTCTACAGTGTATTGAATCATTGGATAACACCCTATTTATGCAACAACAAAAATACCCCTATATCCTTACAATATAAATATGTTTGAACAGTCAGATTCCAGTACTCGAACAACAAACCTCTACTTTGACTTTTTGCAGTTGAAAATCATACAAAAATAAAGAAAAGACCAATCATTACATTGCATCAGTGGATGGTATCATCTTATTTCTGCTTTAAGCGCAATCTTTAAATAGTAACTCAGATTAAGTTGATATATATCAGATTTTAAAAAATCCAGTATTTGTACTCCTGTGATGTGGCACATTGTGAAATATTGTTATGATCTTTGAATCTTAAATGACCTTTCACCTGTTACATCCTTAAAATATTTTATTAGCTACAATTAATCAGATAGAAATAAATACTTGTTATTATTGGTTTTAAATGCAACTCTATTACATTTGACACAACATTATTTTCCTGGGTTTCTCTGTCAATAGGTGAAATACAATCCCACTGGAAGTAAGTGTCAGCAGCATTCAGTGTGTAATCTTTTGTTTCTTATCAGCTCTATCTGGGTTGGAATTTACAATCACCTGTCAGTAAGACAAACGTGGAGTTTTAAAAAATAGTAATAAACATTTATTGCATCCAAGACATTATAAAAATAATGTTTATTTTACTATAAAGCATTTTTATTTAGCTCGCAGACTGTCACACCGCAGAGCAAAGTCTATAAGATTAGGAATTGGATTAATTTAAGGTTGAATGACCTAGTGTCCATTATAAATGCAATACACTTTGCTGGGCAGTGAGGTTACATTAGGGTGTCATTTATGATTATTTTGGAAAATGTCTTGACTTTACATTTATAAATTGCACCACATGCAAAAGCTAAAAACCAAAAAATGAAGCATTGTCCAAAAACTGAAACTGCTGATCCAAGTATGTCCTAAAAATGTCCATAACTAAATAGAAGCTCCTCTTACCACTGCAATAAACCCTTATGATGATTAAAGAGTGCTTACTTGTGTAGCTGTTCACGGTGCTATAGTTGATCAGGATCTGTTGGGACTGAGGCTGGATATGAAGTGCCTGCTGCTGGGGCTGAGGCTGAAGCTGGGGCTGAGGCTGAAGCTGAGGCAGGGGCTGGGGCGGAGGAGGAGATGTGGGGGCTGGCGCAGTGAAGATGGCCTGGGGCGTGGAGGTGAAAGCTGGGTTTGGTGTTGGTGATCCATGAGGTGAAGCTGCCTTTGACGGGGCCGACGGGCTGAGAATGGGTTGTGGCTGCTCCACCTGGGGCTGTCTGAGGGCCTGGGCCTGTGGGGGGGAGGCCGGCTGAAGCCTTTGTGTGGAGTTGGGTACCTTGGCCAAGGGGGACAGCTGAAAGGTGGGAGGCTGGAAGGCCTTGTCTGGGGTGGAGGAGCTGCGGGTGATGGGAGGGCCCAGGAGTGCATCCAGGTGGGGGCTACTGCTTAGGATGGAGGAGGAAGGTGGAGGTGGAGGTACAGAAGTGGTGGTGGTGGTTGGAGGGGAAGGTAAGATGATAGACTGGGTCAATACAGGAAGCTCTTGGGTGGGAGGGGGCACTGTGTATGGGGGGTTATCAAACAGTCCTCCAAACTCCATGTCCTGGTTGTTGATGAGCTGTAGCATGTCTGAAGAGAGAGAGAAATTCACAACTATCATCACTGCCATTGACTTGCAATATGTTTCAGTTGCAAATTGGTTCTAAACCAATATTTACATACATGTTTACAGTATTAACTATATAAGAAAGGGAGAGAGCCCTCATAAGAAAGCTACAGAATAAAATAGTACATTTTCAAAATGCTTTAATCACTGTATACAAAAAATAACTAATGCAAGCATCAATTACAAATAATAAATGCTGACATACAGAGTAAAAACATAACAAAACTGTGCACAAAAGACCACCCAAGCAACAGATTTCAACCCCTGTGCAGTCATACTATTATTATATTGCTGCAGTTATGGGTGAAGGCAGTACAAAAGACGAGCAGAAAACACTCATGTATTGTGAAAAAAGAGTTGTGAAAGTAACATGATTTTGGTCTTGAATATATGAACATTAGATATCTTTAAATTATCCATAAGGTATTTTTCCTATATTGAGTAATGAGCTTGAATAACAATGGTTCAAACTGTATAATATTTAAGGTGCATTCAAGGCACTGTTAGATGTATTACTCTTGAAAGATGCTAAATTAACCAAATGTTTTATAATCTCCCAATTTGATCTGATGAAGTGGCACACATAGCTGAAAAATAAAAACTGCGTGTATGTGGTATCTGCAGTGAAACCATAGCAGTGAAACGCAGCTCTCTGGAATTACAGTGCACTGTTTTGTATGAGGTGATCGCTCTTGTCCAATCAGAGCGCGTCTCAGGGACTTGCTATGCCGATCAGCTCAAGACAGGGAAAAGAGCGAGCGCTGTCTGTGGCTGCGCGCGAGGTTACCATCGAGCAAAATCACACAGGGTTACTGTCGGTCAAATTTAGGAAGGTGACGAGTAGGTCTGCAGGATGTGCTTTACCGAGTAGAGTTTACGCAGTGTTGCTTTCACAAATAACTTTTAACAATAACATCTGGAAAATCCCAAGGAAAACAATATTATAATGGCTAATTGAACAATGGTTTCTTGAATATAACATCAAACGAGTGATGTGAATACCATTATGACACATACATAAACAGTTGAATTTATTAAGATTTGCACTAGCTTTCAATATAAAAAAATAAATAAACGTGTAAGAAGAATATCACCATTACACATTCATAAACAGTTTAATTAATTAAGATTTGCACTAGTTTTCAATATAAAATAATAATAAACGAGTAATGTGAATATCACTATGACACACATATAAGCAATTGATATATTAAGATTTGTACTAGTTGAAAATGTTGAAAGATATTACTACAAACGTAAATAAGCACGTGTTTAAACAGGAATATGAAATGTTTCATTGGAGCATATTGTAAGAATAATACTTTTAAGACACATTTTCTACATATCATGTGTAAAGTCGGTCAACCGAGGCGGTGTGAACCCATGAAGGAGGAATGAACGGCAGTAACCCCTGTCTGTGGAGTTGGGGGCGGGGCGCACGACCACCTAGCTGCACGTTAGCCTCACCCACTAGCATTAGAATACCCTCTCATATATTAGGTTAGAAAGATTGCACGATAGCATTCGTTCCGATAGTACAAGAGAACAATGTAAACAAGACCGCCTTTCACCTCAGAACCGAAGCAAGCCTCTAAATAAATGAGTTAGCTGAATAGAAGCTAGTCTAGCTAATGATGAAAGCTACGTTGTGAACTGAAACATGTAATAACCACTGGTAGGGCTTTAAACTCGTATACATGAGATGTATATTACATATTAGGAGTAAAACACATGATGCAAGCCAACAAAACACACATAGCATGCAGAAGGTTAATTTATAAGCAGTGTTGTTGGTTTAGCTGCAAACCTTAACACGACTGGATTAGCTAGCACACACACTGTCACGTTTCTTACCATCAATGTCGCTTAGGAGAGCCGTGTCAATATCATTCGGGTCATGAAGCGATAGAGTTGGATCCAAGTTATCCAACGAAGGATCGTCAAAAGACATGCTGTTCATCTTTACTCTTGTGTGTGGCTCCAATGTAGACTTGACTGGCTGTAGAATCGCTCAGAGGAGAAACACTTGTCACGTCCCTACATTTGCCAAAACGTCCGATCCAGAGTCTACCTGAAACAACGTGAGCTGCAACTTTTTTATTGTGTGTCAACTAACTGCTCACTCCTACCCCCATGATCATGCAGGGAAACTTGTCAAACCAAAGCCAAACACTGGAGCTCATTCAGTACTAACATGCTTACAGAGGCAGCCTGGAGAACCCACCCCGATCAGGCGCGACAGCCAATCACTGCCCGAGTACCAGATTCCCACGTCTCCTGTTTCTCAGGGTTGTTTTGATTATTTGACTGAAGGTGACAGCAGCATGTGGAGCTCATGCAGCGAGGGAAGAAATACTATTGATTCAAGACATATTACTCTAGTAAAATAGAAATGCCACAATCCAAAAAAAATTATATACAAGTCAAAGTCAAGATTCAAAATGTTACTGAAGTAAAACTAACACTGTTTCCCTCTGAGATGCAATGGAATAGAAGTATAACGTATTGGATAATGGAGAGACTATTGTAAAGGACAATTTTGTCCAAAGTGTAAACAGTACTTGCGTGGGTAAATTAACCTATCAATAAGCATGTTATAGTACAACAACACACTGGTATACTGGCTCCAGAATACCTAAACATATCTATTGTAAAAGTATTATAACATTGTTATCTACTCTGTTTACATGTCATGTGTTGTATATAAAATCAAGCACACTGTGTATTTTCAGGGAAACAGCATGGATTTGTTTGGTTTATTGTGGGCTTGACCCTAACAGCCAATGAGAGCCAAGCAGGCGTGAGCTACTGAAAGCAAGTTTGTTTGACTCACACCAGCGGCTCTTCCTGTGGAGCCAGTGAAACCGACCAATGAGAAGCTCAGGAGCCGAGTGGGGTGATCTGACATCACATATCTGGGTAAGTGATTACATCATGTGTTTCTATTTTAGCAGCAGGGGAAATAACCTGAAGAAATATATATGAAATACCAAATCTAATAATTCAGTGTACAGATAAACTTCAAATTTGTCTTTGCAAATTAACACTTCAAGTAAACAACAAGCACATATTATTAAAAATGTAAATAAATGGCAAGGCACACTTTATTTATAGATCACCATCAGCTAAATTAAAGCTATGATGTGAAAACACTGAAAACAAAAGGGGGACACCACAAAAGCATAGTGGGGAAATAGGTCAGTGACCTAGAGTAGCACTGCAAAGTTGTTGTCAGTGACGGGATGTTAAAAGCCTGTCAGCCTGGTATTGTTGTTGATGGGGTGTGTTGGTGTAAAGGAGCATGTCTTATTCACTTGATTTGGGAAATCTGCCACTTTGCTAGAAGTCCATTCATAGTGTATATGTTTGGTGAAATATATACAAAGCAATTACTAATTCAATTGTTTTGCTATAGTAGAGATTTAAGAGTTTTAAACAGATGATTAATATCAACCACCAACATATTATTAAATAACTCACATGCTCCCACATTTAGAGATGTTGTGTGCTTGCAAATGAACGTAAAAATTCAAGATGAAGTTGCTTCCAGACTGGATCGAGAAACTTCAGTCAATGCGAAATGAAAGGAATTTACATGTTTACCAAAACAAACATTTGAACAAATGAGAAACGAGACGTAATAACAGTAGGAGTTAATTTGTGAGATTGTTTTGAAAGGTAAATTAATGTGTAATACACTGAATATATTTTTTGTAAATTAGAAAATTAGGTGATTAACAAATATAAAAATGAAGGCAAAACACTAGAAAATATGATATAGGGGGACTTTTGTGTAAAATTACAATTCATTTTTAGTTTTGTCTTTGTCATTTTCAGTAAATCTAATGAGCATTGTAACAAACCATTAATGTAAACAGGGTAGGCAAAAGTAAGTTATTGCTATTCTATTTGAACAGAGTGGATCTTATGTACATGAACCAACATGTGGGTGGGGGGCGGGGTGTTGGGGAGGCTCATGTGACAATGAATGGTCAGTACAGTGCAAGATTACGGTTGGGTTGCATCAGCATGTGTGTGAGGAAGTAGGAAAAGGAGAAAATGCTTGAAATGCAACCTTTTACTGTAAAATAACCACAAACAGTTGTGAGGTAGCGCTCACACATTGCTAGTGTTTTATTGGGCAGTTACATACGTGCATTAGGTCAAACAAAATCTGACCGTTAGTAATGGCAGCAGACAGCACAGCCACACTGGCATGGAAACAAAACTAGCCTCTCTTCCAAGTCCACAAACATCAGCTGATTGATCGGCTTCATCAGTATTAAAAGACATTCAGTAACCATTTTGAGATAGCCAAAAATCAGAGGAATACATGTTGCAATCAGGACTCAAGCTTCATAAAAGCAAGTTACACAAAACAATCCGTTACAGATCAAGAGATACTAAACACACAAACTGAAAAATACTCAAGTTCCCTTTTAAAGGATCTCATGTTACATTTTTAATATTACTTTGTTCAGCCTGCAATTGTAGAAGGTTGTTTTAAAGTGAACACAATGGTTGATTGTAAATGTAACGCTATTATCTCAGTTACCTGGCAACCATATTAAACCTGTATAACCACATGCATTAAACAAAAAGTTAAAGCTCATAAATCATTAATCTTACTCAACTAAAATACATGTCAATATTTAACATAATGATTATGCAGACACAGAATTGTACAATGTCACCATTGCAATTATGTTAACAACGTATAAGAAATCAGGAATGTTTCCCTCTATACGGACAAGTAATGTATGAATTAAGCTTCTAAAAATGTGGGATGCCCTTTTTAAGAAAGCTTTTGGTCTTTAATGGACAAAAGGAATAAAATCGTTCAAGTTTTCAAGTGCAGTGCATCAGTAAAACAAACCAGGGCATCAGCAAACATTGGAATGACAACAGGATTGCTTTTTGCATCAAAGTGTGATCTTAAGTTCAACACAGACAAACTCCTGTCAGAGATACTTTGCTGAAATCAGACATGGACAGGAGCCGATGAATAATGCTGAATGAAAAGAAACGAAGAATAAGTTTGCCTTTGCCTGCACAAATCAAAGAAAGTATTGTGTTTGTTTGCTGCCCTCTTCAGCCTCAACCACAAATAAATACATGATAAAGGACCTAAACATGTTTTTACATGAACTACAAAAAATACAATCAGGGGATGAAATGACACATAAACCTCTCTGGATACGATCCATAAGCCAATACATGTGTTATAACTAAAATTGCTATATTATGAGGTATATAGATTACATAGTTTATGGTAAATTAAGCTCTTTCTTTACAGATACACACTTTACAGTAGTGCAATATTGTAAGCTATACATTTTGTATGCGAGTTGATTATGGCGCCACCACAAAGCTATGCTGCTAATTTAGATGCCATATTCCATCCATCTATAGCTCATTATTACTATTCTTATACGTTTTTGTAATCATTAATTGAACCCTCTATCAATCCACTTCTGTGTGAACAGCGCTACGATTACAGATACAAAAGTTATGTGCAAGACGAAGTCAATCTTAAGACCTTTTACCATCGCATAGAAAAATAGTAACCATCTCGTAAACACAAAAGGACAAAATACAGTTTTTGCTTCAAAGTGCAGACATTAATATAGTAGGGGAAATAACTGTTCGTGATCCCTTAACCTCTATAACACATGAACATGATTTCTGTTCTCCAGGTTCATTTCAGAGCTAGTTGTTCATTAAAGCCTTACTATTCTTTGGAATGGCTAAAAAAAATGTGTAATCGTTCAAAAGCAGCCAACTAATTTATCGTAGCTTAAATACTTAATGGGGCACGACCATCCCTATAGCCATTTAAATTACATAACAGAATCCTAACTGGTGCTTTTTAGATTTGTTGTTTTGTATTCCCTTTGGTTAGAGGAATGCTGGCATACACTCATCAAGAGTAGCTATATATATATATAGTTTAGCTATTATATCCCTTGTTAAATTCAGCCTGCTTACATACATTTTTTGTCCATACTGCTTCAGTTAATATTACCACATGTTGCCGTCCACACATCCAGTGTTAAAAGCGTTACTAAAGCTCTAACTGGAGTATTTGCAGAGAAAAGAAAATGCCTGGATCAACCATAACCACAGCGCTAGTAGTACGTCATAGAACACATCTTTAAAACAATAAATGCATACATTAGCAATTAGCTGAATGTAGTGAAGCAACATAATATAATCCCAATTGTATGCTTCTATACTGACTCAATTCATGGACCTACTGTGAATCTTTCCATTCATTTCGCAGTAATATACCACATTTAAAAACCACATCTGACCAGTTAGGTTGTCTTCCTTTGGTGGAGTGTTACAAATGAGCTGCAGGGCCGCGAGTAATACATCCCATAGTAACAGATTAATACATCCATATAGAGTAAAGCGCAAAACAGTTGTGCACAGTAAACATCTCTGCATGTTAGAGCAACACCGTGGCAAGAGAATGACAAGGAGCTGGAGATAGCTTGCTACCCCACTGCCAGTTAGCGATGAAATGGGACAGGAGGGACTGTTTCGGAGGGATCATTTAGGACGAAGACCTTTGGATGCCACCGGAGAGAGATCCAGGGTCTACAGTCTACAAGGCAAAGAGGGCGTCCTCCGTCCGCTCGGCCTTCTTGTGGGAGCCATCAGCGGCACGAGCAGGGTGAGCTCCCGGGGGAGACGGCAGGGAGTCCGAAGCTATTGCTCGCTCCTCCAGGAACTTGTCGAATTCTGAAAGAAACACATTCATAAAAAAGGGGAATGAACACAATTTCACACATGTAGGAGTTCATTGAATATACGCAATCGTGATTCTATACCTTCACTGGTCACCCCTTCCTCAGCAGCATCCCCTTTCTAGTGAGAAGAGAAAAACACCAGTAGATAATGTGCACATTTTGGTTTTATGAATGGAGTTTTCTTTGTTTTAGGAGACAGTGATAAACCTTTGTGTTCAGTCAGCAACACAGCAGGCTCTCTGGTACACAAGAAGTAACATACAAGTCAGATGCAAGTTCACACAAATCCATACAAAGTCGCTTATGAAGGGTCCGTCAATCATGCATTCTTCCACACTTCCACTCAGGCAACGACAACCAGTAGCCTCCTTAAACCCAACTCCAAAACCTCCACGTGCTCGTTTACAAAGCTCATAGCAGCCTTTTTCACTTGACTATTGTTAGCACTATGTTAGCAGTCAACCTCACGATAAACTGTTATTCAGCATTGGTTAAAGTACATTAGATTACAGTGAATGAAAGGATGCCAAGTGAAAGGAAACTAAAGTCAAATGTAGACAGTGATGTGAGATGAAATGTGCTCTCCAAGAAAAACAAAACCGAGAACAGAAGAGAGAGAAAAAGAAGGGGCAACGTATAAATCAACTTAAAGAAATCTCACCACGTCAGCACAGAGCCACTCCTCTATGTCATCCATGACAGAGGACTGCGGTACTGGGATCTATGGAGCAAAGCCATGGACAAACCAACGGGCAGCACCAAAGCCACACAACAGAAAGACACCCAAAAAAGACAATTGGAACACAAAAAACAAACAAGAATTGGAATCACCAAAGGAAGAATATGATTAAACTCAAAATGAGATAAAAAGAAATAGCTGAAAAGACACACTCAGCCCCTCTCAAGTCTGTGCTCGCATTGTTTTACCATGAGCAACAACCTGCCACTCAGCTGTCTTCACTGAGAACAGGAGTTTCCAGGTTGTGTTTTGCTCTCATTAGTTGCATGATGCTGACATGGCTTAACAGCTGCCGACTGATGTCACACAGCAGTGTTAATTTTTCCACATCATTAGTTAATCAGCGAATCACTTGAACGTGATTAGGAGATTGATTGGATGGGAAAAGCTTAAAGCACAGGGACTATCGAGAGGCAGGGTAATCCCACGGCACACACATATGTGGAGCACACACACACACACGCAAACACACGCTGCATTGCATGAAGTAACTGTGATGATGTGATGAAGCCATGTCAGGGTGTATGGTGTGGGTGTGCACCAAATGATCAGACAGTGAATAAAGACTGCTGGGAAAGTGTGATGCATTGTGTGCTTGAAAAAATAGGACATTTTAAAAGTGGCTTAAGCTAAAGTCCATACATTTGGGAAAGCTACTTGTATGCTTTTTGTTCACACAATACTCAAAAGTCTTCCACATCCTTTCACTGCCTATGCGTTGAAGTCAAAGTCCACATGTGACATCGACCTGATATCAAAGTTGAATAAAAGAAAAAACCGCTTTCCTTTGACCCGGTGAAAGACTACAAAAACACAGTTGGGGTTTCCTCTTGAGACAGAGTTTACGCAATGAAGGAGCGTTTCAGAATAAAAAGCCAAGGCAGTGGGGCAGTGAAAGTCATCCATGAGAAATAATAAATAAAAATACATGCAGGGGGATTAAAAGCTGTAGAAAAGTGTGTGGAAATCACAAAAACGACACTGCTAGAAGTTCAAAGTGTAATCTTTTTTTAGGCAAATATACAGTCATAACAGCTACTCCATTGTTACAGTGTTACAACTAGTGATTCACTTGTTAGTTACTTCATGTGTTTATGGTTAAGATGAGACGTGTGAGGTTCTTGTTAGCTATATCTAGTGTATTATCTAGAATCCAGAGACAGTTAGAAGACAACTGACAAATACCCTCAAAACACAGCAAGACGCATCCCTTTGCCAACTTGTTTGGGATCGTAATGATTCAACTTGCTGTGTAGCGGTAGTATCTGTACTTCCCTGCTGTTTTAGTATGTGAGTGTTAAGGGATGAATCTAGGTGATGACAGTTCCTGGTGACCCATCAGGCTCATTAACCAAACCATAGAGGGGCGGCATTAAAAGTAGGAAGCATCAATTATGGGTGTAGTGTTTAATGTCCAAAATCGTGCAAAATGTCGCAATAGAAAAAGCCTGTTGATTGATTTAGAAAGATTGCCTGCAATAGCCATATTCAACTAATAAAACAGATGTGAAATAAGTAGCTCCCTAATGCAAACAGTGAATCATAATCAGCACTAAAGGACAAATCTCTTAAAGGGATAGTTCAGATTGTTTGACATGGGGTTTTACATTCAGTATAGACGACATCATCACGCGTCCAGTTTGGAGAATCAGACAGGGAAGTTAAGCAACGTACTTCTGTATAGGGAGACGGCAGGAAAAAACACTTTAGCCACTTGAATATGGTCTGTTTTTAAGTGTCTGCTACATTTTGAATATTTCCTGCGAGGTCAAATTGTTGTTTTTATTAAAAAGGAGTCTGGTGGATTTGAACAGAGCATTGAGTATGGCTTTAGTTCCTAGTCACAAATAGATGTCTCGTGGCACGGTAAAGCTGAACAAATATCCTTCAAAGTGAACACGTAAACTGATATTGATTATTTTTTAGGTGGCCATAATATGTTTTCTGCTGCCACCGTCCACAGTAGTTCTGTCTATTTCTCCAAACAGGTGGTGATTATTAATCGTCATATTGTTTTTCATTTTTTACTTATTGTGTAATTCTTTTCTCACTTTATCTGCTGTTGTAATCGTGTAAATGTCAAGGGACAAATAAAGGATTTCTTATTCTGATTCATATATTGCCCTACCATATAAAAACTTGTCATAGAGATTCTTAGGAGGATATTCTTTCTGGTATGGCTTGTATGAGCATTCCAGGACAGAGCAGTGAGATGAGGCTAGAAATAAGAGCAGCTCATGCGGGTTATGGAGCAGGGGTGATGGATGACACGAGGGGGGGGGGAAGGAGGACACACTGAGGATGGAGTCCTCACCATTCCTTGGGTAATAAGCCAGCTGTCTATGGGCAGCTCCTGATCTGCTGGGTTATCATCCCCTTCTACCCTCAGCTGAATCAACAACAGAACAACACCTTACACAAGAGAAGAAAGGTAGCAAGCCCCACCACAGCAGAGCTCACAGTGCAGAGAGAGACAGAGGAGAGGTCAAATGTGCAAGAGACAGCTTTCATTTCAAAGTGGCAGAGAAGGAGAGGAGAACGTAAAAAAAAGACGAGGAAAGGATCATTCCATAAAGATGAAAATGAGGAAAATAAAAAAGGGGAAACAAGACTTTGAACTCCCTCAAGAAAAAGCTCAATGTAAAGTAACTAAAGTAACTAAAAGAGGAATGCGCAATCCCCACTGTGTGTGTGTGCTTGTTTGTGTCTGTGTGAGTGTATTGCAGTTCATATTTCAGAGCCGTCTGTTTACATGGCGATAACAATACAAATATATTGCAGTGTGTGCTCGGACAGGAAGAAAGACTACAGAAATCAAAAGTATGGTGTATTCAGTCACGAGATAATTAACGCTGGAAGTCATATTTAAATAATATTTTCAGTCGCTCACTTATATTTACATATAGGATCACTGCACACAGGACGAATGTCACTGCAGAACACACAGTATCACAGACCATCACATGCAGGGAGTGACCGAGGGCCGAGGACAGAGTGGATCGGGAAAGGCTCACCGTCAGCCATGTAAACAACACCCACACTTCAAATATGGGTGAAAGCTGTAATAAACTACATGCATCAGCGTACTCACCCCCCCTGCATTCTGCTGTCTCACATCCAGAGCTGAGGCAAGGCCGCCCAGAGCCTGAGGGTCCTCGTACTTTACACTGTGTGCCAAAACATAAAAAACATAGTTAAGATAGGTAGGTAGTAAAAAAGAAAATACTTATAATATGTGTTGCCATATTGCCCTTATTAGGACGTACAGTGCAGAAAGACGGAGGGGAGAGATTTGGTCAGCAGGGATAACACCTTAGCCCCCAATAACCCCAAAACAACCTTAAGTAACTCAAACTAAATCCAGGACTGGAGAAAAGGGGAAGAACGACCCAGTTTGAGGAGAAAAAGTAGTCTAAATTGACAATAAGCCAATGGTTGAGACAAGCCCACTTTTTGGCATTCTTATCAACTGGGAAACTTGTCTCTCTTGCCCCTTAATTTAGAGCTTCAATTTGCTCCACCTGTGTGTTCAATTTGAAGCAAGAAATAACACGTTTTTATAGAGATAAACACCCCTACCCTGGAGGTTTTTGAAACTAATTTGGCAAATTCAATAAGTCAATGTAGTCAGAGCAGGTTAAGAGACAGTGGGCAGATAAGATGTTTAAACTTCAGCACATTGAACATCAGAGACCAAAAAAGTACCCATGGGTGGATTTTGTTTTAAATGTTAAAAGGTGGTTATGAATATCCCTTTAATTGAAAATAAATAAAACCCTGAATAATAACATGAGAGGATCTAAGCTGCCCCAGAAACGAAATAAAATAGAGGCCTACTTTTTGCGCTGATCAGCCAGAGAGCTGGTCCTGGTCTGGGCGAACATGTCGAAGTCATCCTTGTTGTGGCCCGGTAGAGAAGAGGGGGGCCGGCTCCCGCTGTCTGAAGACACATCTGGAGAGGGACAGTGAGAGAGGAGAGCAGAGGGGGGGAAGAAGGAGAACGCAGAGTTAGAGGGTTTTGAAATAAGATTCAGGAGCAATATATCCAAGCTTTAACCAGAGTACTATAGCATGCAGACACTTTCTAGGGAAGAGCGTGAGTTATGTGGCCGGGCTCATTTCCCATTAGCAGCCAGATTATTAGCCTTTTTTACACTCGGCTGCTTTTCCGATGCCAAGTCTGCAGAGACTAGGGAGGAGCAATGTTACAACTGTGGTGAGAGAGTGTGTAAGCGTATGATAGTTGGACAGAAAAATGGTGGTTGTGTATGTTTATGCCTCCAAATTTCAACATCAGTGGCAAAAAAAAAAATGTATGCTGTAACACATTCTCTTTTTTTCAACACAGGAAAACAAACACCGATACTAACCGATACTCGCTACTGCAGATGTTAGCGAGGCTGTAGGTGGGTTACGGGCGGGGGAGGCAGTGGCCCCTGCGATGCGGTGTGTTGGGCTGGAGCTGATGATCCTGGGTGTGATCACAGCCGGGGACCCCGGGCCCAGGTCGATCAGGTTGTCCTCCGTGGCTTCATTCAACATCTGAAACAGGGCGTGGAAGGGAGACGAGAGATGGCCGTCAATAATTATGAATGGATATAAACAATGTCAATATACAGATTAAACATATTATTGTATGTATTTATATATAGTTTTTTGAGGAAATTAGATTACATTGGGATTACCCTTTGTAGACAGAGACTACTGACATCCTACAGGATTGACTATTTACACAAATTGAGACAACACTGAGAGTCAGTGGGTGTGGATTGAGGGCTATGCACTGATACAATACTGAGGGTTGAATACACAGGGCGAAAAGGGAAGGACATATAGACTCTGGTTTCACACGGAGCTACTGTTTGCTCTATGCCAGTGTTTCTCAAAAAAGGGTATTTTTTTCTTAAATAAATAAATATACTTAATTAGTTAAATAAAAATGTTTATATAAGTTTGATAAACCACATTTTACACTCAATATTCCTATTCTTTATGCAACCTGGAATCCAGTTTTGATATTGAATGGCAGACAGAAAATTGATTCACTGTCGAAAGCAAAACAGAGAAAAAGATACGTTTATATTTCTCACAAAATTGTAAATGATCAAAAAGAAAGAGTTCAATGCGACTCAAATTCCAAGTGATATGGCATTAAATCCAGAAAATGTTTTCCATTGAAAAAATGGTTACATTATTGAAGAAAGTTTGAGAAACACTGGTCTAAACATTAGCTCCATGCAGTCCAGCAGACGTGTTAACATTCATTCCAGCACACTGGCTGGGATTGAACCTGGTGCTGGCATCGTACTTGCCTCCATCAGCTGACCACACCACAAACAGACAGAGAGATCAGCAGCAGGCAAACACAAGCACTATGTGGGAGGAGGCGAGAGACGCCCCGACCCTCTGGTGAATCACTGATCCTGGAGAATACACGCTCTAAACAGCAGATTGACACTTCTTTTGCTCGGCTCTTCCAGGTTTGATAAAGCACAAAAAGCGATGCACTAGGATTACATATTAATACTGCACTAAAGTGTTGTGTAAGCTTTTATAAAAGTAATAATAAATCCAAATACTCAAATGGTAAAACAAGCACAACAAATGGCTATGTGAAGCAAATCAGTTTGAGCCATCCCTCAAAGCATCTTTAGAAAAACGACCACAGGTGATGCAAATGCAGATTAATTAAAAGAGACGGGAATTGTTCTGAAAACATGCAACAAGCAAACACAAAACAGTGATCCATGAGGGAATCTGGGGTAAATCCTTTCTTCTCTTTGATGGTACTCACCCCGTTGTTCTGTGCCGCTCTGCCCAACCTGTACCTCTCGTACCTGTGAGCAACACACCCATCTTTCAATGTTTTACCACGAGCTCTGTGAAGTTCAACCGCTCAAACATCTTTTATCTTCACCTCATGACAGACACATTTTAACAGTTTGAAGATAATGTTTTTAAAAATGAATGTTTTGCGACTTTGAAGTGTTTGAGCTTGAAAAATGTCTTTTCTCAGAATGTTTAGTTTTCACTGGTAAGCTTTGGGATAATCACAGCTGGAGACACCTCTTTAAAACCATCGATAGAGGACCAACGAGCATCCATTATTCATCAATTAAACATATTGGACCAAGGTGTTACACATTGCAAAAAACATCTGTTGGAGAGGTTACAATGACACTGAAAACAGAGATAATATAAACATAGTTCTGGTCCCGACACCCTAACAAATCCAAGCATGACATGTCAGCCCTTGTTCTGAGAGAGTGTTTGATTGATTGATCGTACCGCTCATATCGGAGGAAAATGTTGTTCAGGTCGTCGTTGACATGCAGCAGCTCCTCAGTCACTTCTTCGTTAGAGACGCGTGAAATCAGCTCGACGACTCTCTGCTGCATCGCCCTGCAGGTTCGGTTCAGCTCCTACACAGATTGAAACATCAATAGAAAAGATGTATTGATAAATCAATGAATAAAAAGAAAATCAAAATAGGACGGAGAACCATAACAAGTCTGATTTTGTCAGACACATAAGCCTGAACAACATTGTTAAAACCTGCTCTAAGGTTATCGGAGTGAAACAGAGAGACTTAAACTCCTTTTGTAACCAGCAGATTCTGCGGAAAGCAGAGAGCATTCTGGCCTCTCCAGGTCATGTTCTTGCAGATGAATTTCATCTGTTGCCATCAGGGCGTAGATATGCTCTACCTGCTCTAAAGACACATTTGATTATTTATTTACTTATTTATTGTCTATTTATAGTGTCAATTGGAATGATCCACATCCAGGCTCCCGGGTGTGTGCTTTCTTTTCTTTGTGTACATGACATAAACTGCTCATAACCAATTGCCCCTTGCGGGATTAATGAAGTTGTTGATTGATTGATATGACATTATACAGCAGTCTTAATCCGTGAAGGTTAACTGAAAAATAGATCTAATTTTGTCTGTTTTTTTACAAAGCAGCTATTATTGAGCAAGTCAGACAAAATGTTCTCTACTGTGTAAAGAGTGTGCGATTGTATTAGTAAGGAACACTTAAAGGTAGGGTTGGTAAGAATGGCGAAACCAGCTCGAGTGCGATAGAATTTGAAAATACACAGCCGAAAAAAATCTGCCACTTCCTTACAGAGCCCCTCCTCCAACACACACGAACGCGCACATGACCAATGAGGGCACGAGATAAGTTTGTGCACAGATGGAAGGCTGACAGGCCATCCAGTTACTTTAGCTGGGCCGGCTAAAATGATTGGCCGTGCTTTTTACAGTGCTACGGCTTCCACAGATGACGGTTTTTTATGGATTTATTGTCAAAGCATTTAATATATTCATTGCTATCGGGATGTTAAGAGCATTCCATGGAATATAACAAAAAGTGTTTCTGAAGTTAATTACCTACCCCACCTTTAACAATACAATACAGGTCCTTGCAGCTGACTCAAATACCTGAGTGGATTTGGCTTTAGGAGATTAAATTCTGCATGAGTTGCATTACCACTGGTTAATTGCCAATTCCAGGAATTTGACAACAGCTCAATATAAATAAAGTGTGTGTGACTTGAGCAATTCCTCTGAAAATTAGACACACTACTCCCCCTGCTGGCTTCAAACAATTACAACACTTTACAGCTGGAGTGCCATGTCGGAAAGCTTTTTACTTTTAACATCTTTAGGAGTGTGCGGGAACTCATAATCAAATATTTGCATGAGCCTATATTACTTTAGATTTAGAGTAGGTATGCTAGTATGATGTCTCAACAGACCCTTTCATATAAAGAAAATAAACGGTCTTCTGATTCAGATTCGCTTTCATGCTCTTAATAGCTTTGAAACCACATCCTCTTGAAATCCACATTAAACATTAAAACACATAAAGTCAGATTTATTCCGCATTTTAGTCTCGTCAGGCACATCATTGGTCAAAATAAACCCTCTTAATATATTCATTTGCCTCTAACCTGAAGCAGTTCTAGGTCTGAGGCGTCTTCCTGCCCAGGCACCATCTCAGTGAGCATCTCCGACATGACTTTGGTGTTTCCTCTCACTACGTCCAGCTCACTGCGCAGCCGGGCGATCTGAGAGCACAGAAGGTCAAAGGTCATTCATATTTCCAGGGGTTATTCAGGATCAGCAGGGCTGCATATGTTCTCAAAGCTGTCAAAGGAGTGTTATCCAGATAAAGTCTTGTAGTCTGCTTTAATCTTTGTCCTTCTCAATTCAATAACGCTCCTTTAAATTACACACTTTGAAAAGGGCTATTTATATAAATCAGTGGCGAGCCGTGACTTTTATACCTAGGCCCTCTGACCCCCCCCTTCACCTCGAAAAAAAAGAAGAGTTATTACGTCACAGCGTATACTTCAGCGGCTGAACAAAACGTGCATTTATCTAACAGATTCGTTCCACATACCTTATTTCCAGCTATTTTCTTGTCATAAAGTCCGCGAAAATAAAGCCAACCCATTTAGAGGGAAGATATGATTGGTCAATTGTACTGTCATTTGACATTACTCTCTCGTTGAGATACTATAGCGGGCCCTCTGTGAATGTAGAGAGGGACCAACAAGCTCTCCCGTCTTCACAGTAACTCGCAGAGACGGCATTTAACCCTTCGCATTCCAACAGAGACTGAACAGGCAGATTCGAAGGATTTATTTCTTTGGAAATGTTATTTTAAATACAATTAAATCAAGTTATTTTGGTAAAACTAATGAAAAATTTAACAAAAAAAGTATATTAAAAAAAATATTTAAAAAGAAATGTTTTTTTTTTAATGTTTTCAAATATTCTTTTTTAGAATATCTTAGGCCCTCACAGAGTGAGGCTCGCCATTGATATAAATCACATTTCACAATACGAGCAACAAGTGCGGCAAAAAGACATACATTTTCATTTCTCGAAGCTCCTCACCTGGTCAGGGGTTGCTGTGATTGGGCCCGGCACGTGGGAGGTGTGTGTGGGGGGGGCAGGAGACGGGATGGGGGAAGGGGTCACAGCGGCAGGAGAGACCGGGGTGAGGTACTTGATCATGGCTGGGTCCACCTCTGGGGTTCCCTGGAGGAAGAAGAAAAATACCCCATAAGATATTGCTTTGTGAATATACAGATGTGTTTGTGCTGTGTGTGTTTCTTTCTCACTCTCTGCGGTGTGTGGATGGGAGACAACGCATCCAGGTCCGCCATCGGGAACTCAATGCCTTTCCTCTTCAGCTCTTCGTAAATGTGGACCACACCAGTGAGATCAGGGCTGCTCCTGAAGGCATCAGCCCAGGACTGACACAAACACAAGGTCAGCATAAACAACCAAAAAAATTAAAATAGAGTCCTTTTACTTTGTTCTCGTCATCGATAGTGGTCATTTGCATTAAAATACGCTATTTAAATAGTAAGGGAAACAAATGTTTTGTATAGATATTTGCTTTTATGAAAAAAAAACTCTTTAGTAATTAAATGCTGTATTATAAGCAGCTTAGTGTAGGAAGCTAAACAGGTCATTTAAAAAAATATATATATTACAGCCGAATTAATTTAATTATTTTAACAACATTACATTTAAACCTCTTTGATTGAAGATGAGAAATTATTGTATATGTATGTATAAATGTAAATGTGAGTAGGAATAACTTGCATAATGATTTAAAGGACAATCATTGATCAAGTAAGGGGTGGGAATTAATAAGCATTTGCTTCCTCCTACTCCCTTTCGGACACATATGATTTATTATTATTATGAAGACTTTTTTTGTTGAATATATAAATATTATCATGAATGTGGATAAATACTGTATTTTAACAATACGGTATTCTGTTTTTCACATTTTTTATTTGTTTTAATCTGTTCGAAATAAAGATTGAAATGAAACCCATCATAATACCTTTTGCCTAACCTCCGTAAAAAAGAATAATTCATGTTTAAGAAAGAAACACTCTGATGTGGACAATAGAACAGAAAACGGTGTCTAAAGTGGAGTGTCCTTCATAAATCCCTATAAATAATCAGAGGACAGAGCAGCGAGGCGGAGAACACCACCTGCCGGCTGAGGTGGCCTCTAGTAACAAGACAGGAGGCTGCAGTCTGCAACATCTGGAAAGTGGAACATGCGGCAGCCACTTGGCCTCAACCACTAATCTACCATCACACCATAATAACATGATTTCAAAATGTTCTGCATCACCACATTTGTGAATGGAGCCATAGGGAGAAGTCAGTATAACCAGAAACCTGTGTGCAATTGTTTTGTACCTTTGTATAAGAAAATACCAAGATAAAAGTGGTAATAATGATGAATTGGCAGTAACCAAGAAAGCCTTAATACCTGTATGAGCGCCAGCACTTTGTCTTGTACGATGGTTGGAGGATTGTTTTTGGGGGATATGACTTTGACCAACACACCCTCGATGAAATCTCTGGTGGCCACCTGCACATGAAACCTGTGACCACAGTTCTTCACACAGGTCTCCAAAGCCTGCAAAGAGGGAGACGATTAAACACAGACAGAAGCCGGGCAAAGGAAACGGAAAACGGGAACATTTGTGAGAGGCTGATGAAAACAGAAAGACTTCTAAGTCACGTTGCTTTTACCGCACAGAGAGAATTTGAACTAGATGAACTATCAAAGATGTGAACACGGTTTAAAAAGGCATGGCTGCTATAAACCAAATAAAAGATGTGCAATATAAACATAACTTCGGCCGAGGAGGAGAAACAGTCAAATCAAATGACCAAGAAAAAACACAATCTGTGGAAAGATCAAGTTTTAAGCAGGGGACAATCCTTTTATGTGGCCTACACAGTGAAAAGCAACTTTGGTCACGGCTTCCTCAGAATAAAAACCACAGGAAATGTTGCAAGGTTCAAAGCCATTCCATTTCTAAAGCAGTTGCGTTTGATGCCAGTTTTACAATGAACACAATGTCAAAGTAAAAGGTTCTCACCGTCAGCGCCAGCATCACTTCTCTGTAGTTCTTGTTGCCACCAAGTCTCTTCTTTAATGCCCGCATGGCATCTTTTGGCCTGGAGGGAAACAGCAGAGAAGACACAGCTGGATGAAGCACCCCAGCTGAGAGTAGGCATAACATCTTTGGCTTTGTTGGAATCAATTATTTTCTGTGCCACAATAACAGATGCCAGTCAGTCTGTCAACGTATCTGTTTGACTGAGATAGAGAAGTGCTGTCACGCCATCTGTGTCCCTCTTTTCTTTCTGATTGACTATCTATTCTCTCCCAAGGCCAGATCAAAGCTGTCAAAACATGAAGACTTCAGGTTGGCTCTCTGCCTCAAACTGCAGTCAAGCTTTTATGGACTCTTTTATGAGCTACATGTGGCTCTTCGTTGAGCGTTGGAGCTGAAAAAGATCGAAATGGGTGGAGAAAGTGCACAAAATCTGATATGTAGCTCCCTTAAACAGCACTGTAAATGTGAATCTGACTCAGTACAGTCGCCTTGTGTTGGTTCTTTTCGGCTTTGGATGCAGCATCTGTTTTGTTATATTTTGTTTCGGCACCCGGTCGCACGTGTTAAGACAACATTGTGCTCACCAAGTAAGGAATTTTCAGTTGCGGAATTTCCCAAACATCGAGGCTAAATCTGCGAACCAGACAATGTCTAACTCGCAGAAACATCTTGGAGACAAGGCGTTCTGTGTTCTGTGAATCAAACTCTGTGTGGATGTGTGTGTGTGTGTGTGTGTGTGTGTGTGTGTGTGTGTGTGTGTGTGTGTGGACGTACGACAATGAGTTGAGTGTAGGCATGAAGAATGTGAGAAGCAGGGACAAAAAGACAAAAGGGAAAGGGCTGAGGGAATAATGAAAAAGATGGATTTTTACAATTATTAGAGACGAGAAAACTTGGATATGGTATTTAGTCTACTGATTAAAATGCTTAACTGTAGCTGAAATAAAAGCATTATCTCTAGGGAACACAACCAGAAGTTCATTAAATGGTGAGGTGGAAGAAAGTGAATAAATAGGCAAACAACTATGTGTTTTATTAACATTTAAGATGACAATAATAGGCTGCAATGCAAAACCTGATATTGTCTGATTTAAAATGAGTGATGCAGATTTATGAATGAAAACTGACATCATATCCTAAAAAAGGTACTAAAAATACACATGTTACTACATTTAGTCTTGACTGTATTCACCATCATAAGGCAGGAGACTGACAGCCGAATTTCATTCATTTCTTATTTCAGTCAGTGACACGTACAGAAAACAAAAGACTTTCTGTGGGACGGTGCCGGCTGGTGAAGCACAGCAGTCACTGTATTAATTGTTATTCATTGAGCCAGTGTGACAAACTGACCAATTCAGGAAGCAGACGTTTTCGTCCTACATAACGTTGATAAAGCATATTATAACCCAACAATGATCAAATCTAGACAGCGCGACAGCTCACCCCTCGTCCGTCTCGTTTATGATGTCACAGATCTCCATGTTGACGGTCCAGTCCTCGTTCTGGAGGCCTCCATCTGTGGCCCTCTCTGCAGGAAACACAAAAGAAAAATATTTAAACAATTATTTATTTAAAAAATAAACGGTGCTCATTCATTTTTGTCTGTGCCTCTACATTTGTGTTTGAGTACCAGTGCCCCTTATATTAAATGAGGAGCCCTGACTTTACTTCATTATAGTCTTCGCTATGCTGTAGTTCACATAAGAAGAAGTCATTTGCATGTGAGACAGGAAGCTGGGGGCTTTTTAAAAAGAACAACATCGTTTACAAACCAAAATAATGCAAGTTTAAATGTAGACGATACAATTCAGTGGAGAGAAGCAACTGTCAGTAGATTGTTTTAGTTTTGTCTTTGTAATACGAAATTACGAAAACAACATAATCGAAATAAAACGATTTTTTTTTTTTTTTTTTTTCCCAGTTGAATTATACTTAAAGTTCAGGGTAATCAACTGTTAAAAACATACTGTTCACATTTTTTTTCTCCAATAAATGGATGTTTGCAAAGTCAATGAATAATCGCATTTAATAATCGCAATTACAATTATTGATCCAAATAATCGAGATTATGATTTTTGCCATAATCGAGCAGCCCTACCTCAAACTGCATGGTAAATTAACTAAACGAACCTAGACTATTTCAGAGGAAAGAGAAGCTGGTGTTGGGTCTGATACAGCTATATGTACTCAGTCTTACGTGGTATAAACGCTGAAAAACAGAAGCCCCTGAGCCCTGTTGCTTTCAAACACCACCCTACCATTTAAAAGCATTGTGTCTACAGCCAGGAGATAATGTGCTCCAGACTGTGAGAAGCTACAGTGATGAACGAGCACGGCATTCATCGCTGCGTTCCTTGCTCCGTCTCTTCCTTCCTCTCTCGTCGCCCAAATCCATCCATCATGTCAGTGAAAGCTGAGATCTTTCAGGATCGCAGTCATCTGGGGTGAATTTCACAGCGGAACAGGAAAAAAGCTTTTCTACCGAAGTGAGCTGTGACCAAGTTCCTGTGACTGACAGTCAATAGATTCTCATTAGACGATTCTTGAGTTTGGACAGGAGGAGCCCCTCTCCCTGAAGCCCAGGGGCCCGAGCCGGCTGTCATGCCCGGGCCAGCAGCCTCTCACTGGGCCAGGCTGCCTTACTTTTGGGAGGCTCAACATTGGACAAGTCTGACAGCCATGACTTATTCATGCCCTATCTCCCCTCTCTAATCAACTCGTCACACACTGAGCCAGCACTGACGGACAGGCATCCTTTTCTGAGAGGATACATCTTTACTCTCACCTACAAATCTGAAGACATAGAGACAATACAGTTCAGGATGAGCAGCATATACATGTGTGTTTCTGTGTTAGACTGAACATAATGTATAAGATTGGAGTCATTAACAAGCTTCTGCCATTAGGACATCCTGTATAATCTTCTCAGGTGGTCAAGACAGGGCAGAACAGGAGGTGCAGAGGAGAGTAAAAATATCTGATCTCTTCATGTGTCAGAGCCTTGCTAATTAAGTGAATGCCCGCTCAGAGCATTCATTCACGGGGTTGTGTCAGTCGCCCCAGTGCGGGGAATGGACACACCAGTGAAGCCAGTCGATCACATGGCTTTAGCAGTGGCTGGCTGTGCCATCCGCTGCCAACAAAGCCATGAATCTCTGCCCCTCTCTGCAGGTTTCTGTCCTTTAAAGACTCTAGAGAAGCTTAAGATAGCCAACATAGCTTCAGATTCTGTTTATGTACCAAGCTCTTTGGCATACAAAATATTATTCAGATTTTCTAAATGGTCAAATAGTGGAAGAACTTCTTAAATTCAGAATTTTAAATCTTGCATGATATTCTGAAAGGAAAACAGTCACATGCCAACTAAGGTTTTGAAAATAGGGGCGGTTCACTTAAATGTACTTTTATCCATCCATTCATGACTAGAGCAGTCTGTGAATGAATTACTGCATTACAAATACCACTCATTGAGAATGTGCTAGTGTCATCTGATTATAAGGTTTATCTTTAGGAAATAGATGTACAGCAGTGGAGAACAATCAGGGTAAATTACTTCTGCAGCATGAGAACGAGAAAAAAAAACCTAACCCCTCCATCTTCTCAGTCACTTACACTAAGTTCCTTCCAATGCCTCCCTCAGCATCTGTTCTATTGATTTTCTCTAATTGTTTCAGGTAAGCTGATCCTGTGTCAGCTGTGGTTTACAGTACCAGCCGAACAGACAGCAGGCGGTACAGCTCCAGCAGCAGCTCGACCGGAGAGATGAGACTGGAGATACAGCCGTCTCTGTGAGATGGGGACATTTAAGATGTGCTGCTACAGCCCACGGCATGACCTATAAGGACCTCTGTCGAGTGAAATGCCTGAGAGGAGGGTCACAGTTGGTAGCTGAGGGCCGTCTTGGATGACATGGCACAAAGCAGCTGACCGGTGAGTGGTGGGCAACAGTTCAAAGGCCCATCTAACTCCTAAAACCTTCCTTCCTCCAAACTGCTTCTATTCAGTGCACAAAGAAGCTACTTTCGGTCGCTAGGAACTGAAAATGTCTTATAGAAACATGAGAAGCATGTGTGCTTTTCTGTCTCTCATTATAAAACCTTGGTGACAACTTTTCTGGGTCAGAGATTATTTATCGGAGTTTTGCAAACAACAAGCAAGATGCAAAGATAAATGCAACCACACCAAAGGGATGTGGTAGGCCACAAGTCTCTCTCATCATCTGCAGGACGAACAAGCACTTCAGCGCAACACTTCGAGGTTTAAAACTAAAAACCAACCAGGCTGACCACAGGAATCAAAGCTTAAAAGGATTTAAAGACATATTGAGCTTCCACTTGGCTAAGGCTCTGCAAGCCCCTTTGAGACATGACACTGCCCATGCCATTTACTTGTATTTTCCTTGAGAATTGCACTGTATTGTCTAAACATATCCAGTTGTATACACTTATAACAGAGGACTAAGTTAGGTGGGCTAACATTAGCAGCAAGTAGCTGACGTTTGCTGCTGCGTTAGCTCGCTATTTTCCTAACGTAATTCCTCGTAGTAAAACAGCCACATGTTTGTCCACGCTCACACAATGTATGCAGCAGAAACATCTACAATGCATAACTTCAAGGATAACGTACCTATACATTGGCCCACGGGAGTGCCGTACGGATTTCCAAGTAAGAACTCCATTTTGACAACAAACAATCCGTTTGGGATTGACAAGAGGCTGAGGCCCCGAGGCGGTACTAAGTCCCGCCCACAGAGGAATGCTATTGGTAAAAAAAAACTGAAAGCTCAAGGCGTATGGCTGGAATCAACGTCACTTATATTTAGCAACGAAAGCTATGTTCCACAAACAGTTGTATAAATGTTAACCACCATATAAACATGTATTTTACTTAAAAGCGCCGTATTAGTCTCTATATAGTATACAATGTTGAGAAATTCACAAACAACGATATAAACAATTGACTCGATTATTCATCCTCTGAATATAGGCTATTGTATTGTATATAAATGTACATCAGGGTGATTCACTGGGTATTTACTTAATTGTAGTTGAAAAAAAGAACGATAAAAAAAACAGAAAACTACGTAGCACCAAGTCTTAGTTTCATCGTGGGCATCATTATTTTAATGTGTGTTGTTATTATATTCATTCACAAGAAAAGCAATAATGTTCGGAGTTGAGCGTTTATTTTTACAGCATTTTTGGAATATACTTGAACGCAGCTTAGGTTCAGCCGGTTGCTATGTAACCGTGTGTAAACAACAGCGGCAAGAAGGTAGAGTTTATCTAGCTAAATTAGGTAATATTGCATAGATTGTTGTATTTAAAATACTTTTGCAGTTTTGCTTACTAGTTTTTTTTTGTTGGCTAATGTTGGCTATGATGTTTGTCTGGTAAACTCATTTAAATCTACAAAATGCAATCTACTTTCTCCTTTGAGCAGTGGGAGTGAAAATAGTACCCTACAGGGATGATGAGTCGTGGTATGTTGATTAATGAGGATTTGCTGCAGCGGGCAATATTGGAGCAAGAACCCAAAGATAAAGGTCAGGGCATTGCCAATGAAGAGGGAACCCAGCTCGATGAAATCCTTAAACTATGTCTGGAATTCAGAAGTAAGTCAAATAAAATGTGGTTTATCACTGTGATTTGGATTCCAGGTATTTGAACGTTGTTTGTTCACAGACATCCTGAGGATTGACCACTTATGGGAATTCACATCCTTGGCCAGACTCAATCTGAATAACAACCTCATTGAAAACATTGAGGGTCTAGATCATCTGATTAATCTGACATGGCTTGGTAAATTAAGTTTTGTTTTTTATGTTTTGCTATGCTTTCTTTAAATGATTGTGCAGGCTTTATCAAAGATGTTGTCTTAAAATATGAGCCAAGTAACTTTGAGTAATAATGACATTTACTCCGAATATGTCTTTTAGATCTGTCATTCAACGGCATAGAACTAATTGAAGGTCTGGAGTCCTTGCAGAAGCTTGAAGTGCTGAATTTGTCCGACAACAACATCTCTGTTCTCGAAAACATGGAAACACTTGAGAGACTCACTCATTTCTCCATTGCGAACAACCTCCTTGGAGAGTTGGACATCGTACGACAACATTTTCTTGTATAAATCTGTCACATATTATGTGTAAAATGCTCCATTTATATTGCAAGATTAATATAAGATTTGTACTTTGTTTCATAATATAAAATAACATAATCTCATACAATTGAATGCATTTCAAAGGTGCTCTATCTCAGGAAGTTCAAGAACCTGTTCAACATCAACCTATTTGGAAACCCTTGCAGTAAGGAAGGCGATTACACATTGTTCATCGCAGCCTTCTTTCCAGACTTGAAGTTCCTAGATTACACTTTACTTGACGAAAATACAGTAAGTATAAGTGCCGTGTTTTTAATAAAACATTAGTATGTCTTAGTTTGTGTGAAAATTCCACATGGCTATTTACATTTTGTTGTGATGATATTGTGTAACTTAATGTGTGTCTATGTCTTGTGTGTCTATGTACAGAAGAAAGAAGCATCTATCAAACACCGCTATGTCCTCGAGGAGATGAAATGTGAGGAGCTGCACAAGCAAAAAGCTGAAAAAGCTGAGCAACGCAAGGAGGCTGAAGCCAAATTACACACTGTAAAGTGAAGCTGACATGTGGTTATCATCAACATTATATTCCACTGAGCTCTCATATTTCTTAAACTTACTTTGTAAAAATGATGTTCCTGATAGGATGCCTTTGTGGAGTTCCTGAATGGCTCTGACCTGTTTAAGTGCATGTTCAACGAAGACCAAGAGGCAGATAAACTGCACCGCGTGCCTGAAATCACTGATCTGCTTCTAACATATCCTTTTAAACCAAATGTAATAATAATAATTTGTTATGTAATCACAGGAAAAAAGACCTTGAATTCCTTAACCATACCCGTACATTTGAGAAACAAATGGGGGATCTGTGCAAGCAAATATTTGAAACAGGCTTGGCTGAACATAAACGAAGAGACAAAGAAGTGAACTGCTTTTTCACTGGTCAAAATGAGACTGTGATTGAATATCAGCAGAAAGCATTGCACATATTGGCAAACTTCGAGCAGCAACACAAAGAGGTAAGGTGTTAGGACCAGACTGTTTTCAACTGTACTGTACCGTATTTAGATGGACCAGTAAAGCAGCTTTTAGCAACCAATATAAGGATGTTTTTCTTGTTTTTCTTTCTAGAGGACAGTGGACATGCGGAAGTTATCAGACAGAGAATTACTGAAGGTCAAGATCAACCAGTGCAATGATGAAATCAACCAACTCTGTAAAGGCCTCATGACGCTGGAGTTTCAGATGGTCAGCCAGCTGGAGGTCAGTATGTGTGTGTGTGTGTGTGTGTGTGTGTGTGTGTGTGTGTGTGTGTGTGTGTGTGTGTGTGTGTGTGTGTGTGTGTGTGTGTGTGTGTGTGTGTGTGTGTGTGTGTGTGTGTGTGTGTGTGTGTGTGTGTGTGTGTGTGTGTGTGTGTGTGTGTGTGTGTGTGTGTGTGTCCACATTCTATACATTGTGTATCTTACTCATTTATTCATAAAACTGCACTGTGTCTATACATTTGAAGTCTAAGATGACACGTTCAGTTGCCTAGTTTATAGTAGATTGGATAATTATTTAGCTATCTCCCACATGTCCAAAAATGTGTGCCATTTTTATTTATAATTCTTCTTCGTAATGAAGCCTTCTATTCATTTCAGGATATCACCAAAAGGTTGGACATCAACATCTCGGAGATGGTTGGCTACTTCACTGAAATGGTCCAGGGGACATATCCTTTCTGACTGTGAATCAGCTCATGAGCTTTGAATAATTTCCAATAACACATCTGTTCCCAGGGTCAAGCTATTGAGATAATGTTTTCCCTGATTTGGGGAAGAAACTTGCTCCAGGTCCGATTGTAAAATAATCAAATCTGGTTTGCATAGCAATTAACCGCTTTTTGTTGACAGAAAATCAATTATGTCTAAATGTCTGTGCACATGTCTGCACACACAAACACACACACACACACACACACACACACACACACACACACACACACACACACACACACACACACACACACAGTTATGGTAAAAGGATCATCAATCCAATTTTTCTTTCCTTGACATAGTCATACATTTGCGCAATGTCGAGATCTTGAGGATGATTATAATGGGAAGGTGCGAGTGTCTGCTTTAGCACTTCTGGACGACGCCAGCAAGGACAACCTGGATGAATTCTTGCCAGATGATGTTAGAATTGTGAGTTTTATCCTTTTTTACGACAGAATATAATTATTTGAACTGTTGTAAAAATAGTTGTTTCTCTCAGTTGTGCTCTGATTAATCTTAAACAGAACTGTGACCAATGAAAAAGAAAAAAACACCCACAAAATTAAAAAATATTGTCATATTATGTTGAAGATGCTGTGTATTTAGCACATGTAATTTAGCATATATATGCAAAGAAATATGATATTGCAAATATAGTAGGAGAAAGAACATTCTCATTTGAATAGATTCCCCTGATAAGATGACAAAAGATTAACCTGAATGAGTCAGAGAACATGGACTATCACCAATGTCACTGTCTCCCCTGTGTTCTCTGTGTGCAGCTGTTTACAGACAAAGAGACAGTGATGGATGCACTGGCAACCGGCCACGATAACCACCTGATGAAGATCAATGACCGAGAGACTCAGTTGGTTTCACGTGTCAATTCCTGGAAAGTGGCCCTCATTAAAGGGGTAAAGAGTTGAATTTACATTAAAACAAACAGCCCATTTTTATTTTCATCTGGATGACAAACCTCTCCCTTTTATCTCACAGTCTTGTTATTGTTTTGCTTTTTTGATGTATGTGTTATTTCAGATTCAAGACAAAGACCTTAAGGAGAACCGCATGCGAATCAAAGACCTCCACAGATATATGGACCATCTGCTGGTGCAGCTGGAGGAGTTTCAGTAGCATCATTTCAGTAGTATCTACTTGGTTACACAAACAAACAAAATATTACAAACTCGGAAATTCTGAATACAAATGAGTTATATTCAATGATTCAAACATGTGTGGTTAAATAAAATGTTTTCTAAGGCTTTTAAAAAAAGAAGTAGTGTGAAAAATAAGAATGTGACCAAAAGATGAGGAAAAATCCTGTTAAATGCTATCTTGTTTTATGCTCTGTGTTGTCATATTTAGTATGTATAACACAAACTAAATACATGTGTATTTGTATCCAGACTTGTAGAATGTTGGATAAAAAAAATGGTTGTTACCCATAAGTCTCTCACTTGTGTTTGTAGTGAAGTATGAAATATCCTGCAACTCCCAGAATGCACCTCGGGATGTTATCCAATAAGACTGTTGCTCCAGCCGAGTACCAGATTCTAGTGATGGCGAGATGAAGCCTTATGAAGCTTTGAAGCTTTCCAGCCAATTGATTCGCAAAAGGGTTCATCTCATGAGGCTTCATCATGGGCTTCGTTTGAACCGGTTTGAACACAAACCCCCTGTTGGTCAAAGTGTGTAAAACAGGCAGATTGGACATCTCAACAGTGTGCTCAATCTCATACCGAGTTCCCAATGAGTAAAGCCTTAGAATAACTCTAAACAACGAACATTAAATCATGTTTTCACGTCAACAATATTGTTTTTATTCCAGTTGAATGATTGTGATTGAAAAGCCTAAGGAGGCTGGTAAACATTGCAAAGAGGGATTTGTATTCCTTCATAAACGTAACCA